GCCAATATGGAAATACTTATGATATATTACAATATTAATATTTCTCTAACCATGTTATAATTTCCAAAATAAGTTAACACTATTTGAACACACAAAAAAGAAAAGAGCGCAAAATATTTGTTACTGCTATAGATCCACTAAATATGTACTATTACAGTCTATAGATATTGTAAATGTACAGCAATTATTCTTGGGAATACTGAAGTAGGTACTTAGACTATTATCCATACTGTATACTGTATAGTGTATAGTACTATACACTATACAGTGTCAAATACTTGTTTAACATATATAAATTAATACTTGAGTACTTATATTTATTAAAAGTAATTTAATTAATTTAATTTTAAATTGATAAATATTCACTACAAATCAATTAGTTGACATAAAAAAAAAAAAAAAAAAAATAATAAATAATGAATATTTTCAACTTTCAATACTTTAAATTTTAAAATAATAATAAGGAATAGTAAAAATTGTTTTATTTTTAAATTTTATAACATAATTATCATTTGTAATAAGTATTCTTTTTTAATATGTATTGATATAATAATTAATTCAAAATATAATATAAATATTATCAATTTTATTTACCTACTTATTTCTACTATAGACTTGGAGAAATCCATTCTACTATATGAAGAAACCAGCAACAATGACAGCACCAAAATAATAGATGACTTCGCCGTATACATGATGATAGTTGGCTAGAAAAAACTTTTAAATATCATACAAATTGGATGACGAATACTGAGGAATTGAAAATACAAACATATAGTTAATATTGTTATTATGTTTCAGTGGACTTTGAAACACAACTGTCAGTAGTTATACAGACTACTTACACTTAAATAGTCATTGGGTATTAAGGTATTAGTTATTAATGAGTGACAATAGTTGTGATCGTTTTGGTTAGTCATGTGACAAATATTCTATTTATTCAGGAATTTATTGTGAAACATTCAAACAGAGGTTTTCTTAATTGTGTTTATAAATTATAATAAATAATGTATTTTTAATTGTCAGTAAACTATTTACCTTAGCCTATTTTTTGTAGATTCAACTGTATAACATGTAACAACTGACAAAACTCAATATCTAAAAATTCAGAAGTGATTTTACATTTAGTCAAATCATCAATTTTAAAAGAAAATAATGGCGAAAAAATAATTTATGTCCAAATTCTATTCATTGTGGACTGGGAAGTGTGAGATATAGTGTAATACTTACTGTAATAAGTTTACATTAGTTATAAGTAATAAATTAGGAAATATTGGAAAAATGTGATGATTGTTCGATTAGAATACAAAACAGTCACACTCAATGTTTTCAAAACTTGTATCATCTATTGAATATGTGCAACAAAACCATTTGTGACAAGATTAAAGGTGTTAATAATATTATGATAATTGTATAGGTATGATATCACTATACTACTTATACTTCTTGTCTGAGTATTAAAAAAATATATAAGTATATAAGTAGGTATTTATTATTAAATATCAAATAACTAAATTGATGTTGTTAGTATTTACAACTTTACAAATATGTATAATAAAAATGTTTATTTTACCAATGACTTTAATAAAACTCCATTGTTTTGTAGATGATTTGCAGATATATCAATAGAATTGATGTCTTAAATAAAGACAAAGATCAAACAACAAATTTAATTCTTAAACTGTTTGATAATGTATGTATTAAACCATGCAATGTGGACTTCGGTAGTTAGATCAAGTAACTAAACCAAAATTAAAAATTAGTAACATACCTAATAGATATCTATTTTTAATTTAAATTAAGTAATATAAATTATTATTATTTACGTTTGTCATAAACTTGGGAAGTATTTTAATGGTACTCTAGTATATTAACAAACACAATATGTGGATCGCAAAAAATAAATGTTGGGTTATAACCTACCTACAACAATAAATTCTTCTTCTTTGCACTACATTGCAGCCAATTATATTACTCTCACTTACCCGGCGATTTAACCACAGAATAGATAAAAAAAAATCGAACACGTAACAAAGGTACAACGTAGGTGACATATCACAGACAAATATTAATAAAACCAATAAAGATAATACAGAATAAATAGAATTTTGAACCTTTATTCTATGAATAGAATATTAAGTAAAAATACAAAATAAACGGCGCGGTAGCTAATACTGTAAATGACTCATTTGAAGATAGTCTGCAGCTGATTTTATTCCACAATCATTTGTTTTGAAAATAGAACAAAATGTACCCTGCGAGGAACAAAAATGTCACACCACTATAATGCCGTGGTGAGACGAACGTCTCTAGGTCGAAAAAATTTATCACAACTCACATCTCACCGTCACGCATGTATCATGATACAGTGACGTTACTGATATCTATATATTCTTATATATTTATATAGGTTTATAAGCAAACACACTGTATATGATGTAACCGCGAATCGGTTTAATGGAATTTTATCATATATCGCTTATCAAAACTGTAATAAACACCATAACAACATCAAACCAGCACCACAATCATGATTACTATCGAAAACAACTCTTTGATTCAGCGTCTCACACTATTACTTTTGGGCTCCTATTACATCGATTTCTTATTAATAGTTTTTAACGTCGCATCTACATATATTTAATCAATGGTTATATGGAACGAGGCTATCAGTAACCAGTTTCGCGCGTGTACAAAGGTTATCGTCGTCCTCACTATTATATCTTTTTGAGGGATTTTATTAAGTGTATCTCTAATTGACGAAAGTGACAACGGAAATTATTTTATTTATTATGTTCATATTTGCAGATGATAGACGAAGTATAATGATTAATAACAATTGACAATAAACTAACCCTAACAATGTACGCTGACCGGTTCGGCACTAATGCGGTTTCTGTGTCTATAAAATCCCCATCACCCAATCTACACCAAATAATATACTACATTGACACATTAAATTCCAATTAATACAATAGCTATTTCAGTCGGTTTTCATTGAAACTAAAAATGCTGTTTCCAAATAATCTTATAGCATGGCTTATCTGAATATTATAAAACCAATGGTATTATCTATAAACCTCGGCCCTAAGGGGCTATGAAATTGTAACCACAATATTACACGGAAGATAAAACAATTCTGTAGATGTAGATATTTATGTACTATATTATAAAGTATATATTAGTGATAACATATATCTTTGTGAAACAGCCTGTATATATAATATACTTTCACACAGTCGTATTTTAAAAATATGGAATTGGTAAGCAATATAGCAGGTGAGCTACATGCACAAAAAACACATATTTCCTAGACAGAATATAATACCTCTTTTAGGATGATCTTTTTTAGGCTGACCTAATTGATCTGCAATATCATTCTAGGATAGAACTGTGAGCTTTATATACTAAAATTATTATAAATATGTATATCAAACATGTATGAGTACAAACATTACAAAATAATCAGCCAAATGTTTTACAAACAGATAATAGAATAGGATATGACAATAAACCATTAAAAAAATCTTAGAAACAAATATAATATTAAACATGATAGTAAATTAATATAATTTAATACTATAAAAGACCAGGTACACATTTTTAAGTACCTGGAGTACAAAACAGATCTGTAACAATAGCAGGATGTGATGACACTTTAAAAAATGTGTCAAGTATGTCTATACAAATTTCGTAAATTAATTAAAAAAAAAAGATTTAGATTTGGTATCCAATTGCCTCCGTCCCTACTATTTGGGGTCGGTTACTGATTAATTTATTTTGTTGTTAGTATGGTTGTTATCAATATTTCGTTTTGATATTTATAGTTAAAAACAATGTAGTACAAGCTCTAAAATGCCGCATCAGCTATTTCTATAAAGGGTCCTCAAAAAACATTTTACGATCCAGGTCAATGTGTTTAAAAACGGTATAATTTTTTAATTCAAATTCAATCTGGCACATTTCTAGTATACATCCAAAAACACTCATTACTTTAAAACATCTTTTACAATGAACAACACCTTTTTAGAATTCTTATTAAACTTGGATATTAATTGTATGATTAAAATCAATACTTTTATTCTATATTATTATACCTACTTTAATATTTTTACCTACAGATATAAATGATACATTTACAATAAAAATATTTTTAAGTAATTCAAATATTTTTTCATCTATATTACATTTGCATTTGCATTTTGTTTATTATAGTGAGATCTTAAGCAAAAATGTAACAAACTAAAAAATAGGATTAAGTGAAAGCTCTAAAATAGTGGACTAGTCATCAGGGTCAGTCCTAGTTCTTATATACCTTATTGTTAAGGGTGAGTTTAGGAAAAAAAACAAGTGGTAAAAAGAGCAATATGTTTATTTTACACATAATATAAAAAGTAATATTATTGGTTAGTACCACATATTATATATAGCCATACACCATCAATATGGTATTATAGTACCTACACAATATTTTAAACATTTTCAAAAAAATAATTATCGCAGCAAGTTATTGAAATATGAGGTAAGTTTCTTAAATGCTGTAGCATATCATAGACCTTACAGAATTGAATCACATAATTAAAATATTTTGTGAGTTATTGCATTACCTGCATTTTTGTTAGTTTAATGTTGTTAGGCACATTTTTTTGTAAAATAATGCTGCTTAGTTCCTAATGTATTAATTTGCATTCTTTTGACAAGCATTAGTAAACCATAATATTCATATGTATAAAATAATGTAATTTTCATACATTTTATTTTTTAATGCCACCTTGGTAAGTATTTAATTAATGATTGATAATTATTTTGTTCCACTTAAAATACCTAGATTTTTTGCACAACTTCATATTTTATTAGGTAGGTAGAGATCAAAAGCTACCTATACAATTTGTATTTATATCTTGATTATTACNCAACATGCTTCCATTAACCTATAACCATTTGAATATCATAATGGATTATAAACGTGCCTTGATGAAAGCACAAGTTGTATTTCCAGAGACCATATTGCGATGTTGTTAGTTTCATTATACTCAAGTAATAATTAATACCATTTTATTAATTTTAAATATTATATATATATAATAATAATTTATTGATTATCTAATAATGCATTTTAAATATAGGTACAGTCAAGATAGTTATAGTATTAAACATGACAGTAAATACAGTAGTATAAAGCATAGTTGAACATGTTATAAGAACAATAAAAAATAGAATGTACAAACATTTAACATCAATAGGTACATAGAATTGTAAATTTTAATTGCTTTAATTCAATTACAAAACTAATAACTTATTACAACTATTAAAATAACTTATTACTAAACATTCGTTATTATTTATGTTGAACAAACAAATAAAAATAGAAAAAATGTATTTAAAGTTAAATTATCTTAACATAATCATGCATTCAGTGAATGGGTGAATATACACCAAATTGGATTACAGAAGTAAATGATGGATAAAATAAAACTATTTTAAGATATTTTAATGAATAAGACATTACAAAAACAACAAATTTATCAATAAAAAATGAATGGATTAAAAAAATCAAGTTGAAAAACAATGGAGACATTGCTCTATTGTAATATATTTGAAAAATGTTTAAAAATGTAATGGGGAACATTTCCTTGACTGTTATTCAGTGTAACCATGAACATTCCATATGTCATACACCAAAACCGTTAATTGTATATTTCTCCGAAACACATAACTACTGGTTTTGGGATATAGTAGCTTGTGGACACAATGAACAAAAGACAGAGAAAATGTTGTTTACTATTTTAATAGCAATATCAATATTTTTAAACAATGAAAATATATTCAATTATGAACATCCAACTCCAGCTAAAAAACTATGGAAGTACTACTTTGTGCCCTCAAATATTAAAAAAAAAGGAAATTCCGTAGAAAGTCTATGCAAAATTCATAAACAAGAACAAGTTTAATGAATTCTAATTTTTTAATTATTTCAAAAAATCCTATTTACATATCACCTGTATCTTCAACACAACCACATCCAGCTCAATTTAAAAAACTATGGAAGTACTAATTTGTGACCTCAAATATTAAAAATAAAAGAAAGTTCGTAGAAAGTCTATGCAAAATTCATAAACAAGAACAAGTTTAATGAATTCTAATTTTTTAATTATTTCAAAAAATCCTATTTACATATCACCTGTATCTTCAACACAACCAAGTGATAACTTTGTTGCCAATTTTCTGTGACACTTAAAAGACGGATAAAATTTACAACAAATTTTTTCTAGATCATGTGGAATTATATAGGACTCGAGACTATAAAACAAAAATAACAAAATCCAGTATTGAACTCCCAGCTCAATTTTAAAAATCTAATGAACCAAACAAACAATAGTGTAGACAAATATAGAACTAAAAAACTGGCAATATATAATGAACTTTGAAATACTTTAATGATGCTCAAGATCAAAATTATGATAGTTTTTTAATTGAAGTTGTACACTGAGCTCTTTCTTCATACTTCCAGAAAAAAAATGGACAAAAATTCCAATACATTTTTCAATGAAATTTAAAAAAACCGATAAGTATGCTACAGTAAATAGTAAAACTATGGTAAACTTAGGAATTATATTTAAAAAGATCAAAATAACAGTTTTTTTTAATGAAAATAATATAAAACCCGCAATACAAATTCTCATTGGTACAGTTTCAATAAGAAAGTAATCCCTAAATCAATAATTAATATAAAAAACTAATAATTTTATTTGATTTAAAACTGACTGAAAATACAATAAATATTATCATTGATTATAAAAATAATGATAAACTAGAAAATTCATATTATATGCATATCTATTCTGAAAATTACTATTCTCTTGATTTTTCATAACTGCTTATAATCTATAAAATATATACTGCTTATAGGTCCATACCAATATATAACCCACTTAGATAGATGGTGTGATAAAGGGAACAAGACCCTTTTTCAGATCAAGATCAGAATCAAAATCAATCCTGTTTCATGGCTCATGAATAATAATAGTTATAGTGTCAGAGATCAAAGAAACTGAAAATCAAGTGGAATATCCAAAAACACTTTATTTAAAAGTATAATGAATGTAATCCAATTAAACTAATAAAATTAACCACAAAAGAAAATTTTTTTTTATTCCTACAAGAAACAAATAAAGAGAAAATCTTACTTTATAATTAAGTTAATAATTTAACTGTAACTTAATTTTATTTGTGTATGTTTATATACATCAATCTCGTGCAAATTTTTAGGCNGAATAAGCTCTTATTGATCATGCAGAATATATGAAAGGTAATAAATGTAATCTAATAATACTAATAAAAATAACCACAAAAGAAAACTTCTTTTTATTCCTACAAGAAACAAATAAAAAAAAAAAAAAATCTTACTTTATAATCAAGTTAATAACTTAACTGTAACTTAATTTTATTTGTGTATGTTTATATATATCAATCTCGTGCAAATTTCTAGGTTTGTGTTAAGTTTTCTTACTGTAAAAAAAATAAAAAAACATATTAACAAAAATAATAATAAATTAATTAAATAAAACTAACAAGCTGACTTTTCCTACAAGAATTAACAACATTAAAACTAGAATATGCTGATCATAATATTAAATGACTTATGGAAGGATAATTTTGGCCTTACAGTTCATTGAATAAGTAACCCCAAGAATGTATTTAAANTGTGTTAAGTTTTCTTACTGCAAAAAAATAAAAAAAACATATTAACAAAAATAATAATAAATTAATGAAATAAAATTAACAAGCTGACTTTTCCTACAAGAATTAACAACATTAAACCTAGAATATGCTGATCATAATATTAAATGACTTATGGAAGGATAATTTTGGCCTTACAGTTCATTGAATAAGTAACCCCAAGAATGTATTTGAAATCCTATGGAAAAATTGAAAAGAAAATTATCTCAAATTGACTACATCATAATCTCCCAACAGAAATACTACTACAATGCTTTATGTGTTCATAGATGAATTTTCATTTTTACCATTTAGGAAAATCACACACCGAAGCAGTGTAGGAGTGAAAATATAATTGCACTACTCATGTACTAAATGTACTATTCCACATCCCACCATTAAGTGAAATTGAAATTATTTTAAACATTATACATTTAAAAATAAAGCCAAATTCAAAAGAAAACATAACTCTAAACTAAGTTGTTTGATGATAACAGTACCAAAAAAAAAAAAGAGACCTATATACTTTTTGGTTGCATTCAATCTAAACCAAAGATTTATTTGTATTATAATATGAAACAAAATTCCCAGGAATGCATAGTAAATATTATATTAATATTAAACATACAAGTTTTAACATACATAAATGTATATATATTTTTATAAGTATAATTTGAATACATTTTCTTACCTTCTTTCATATATTCTGCATAATCTACACGAGCTTATTCATTGAAAAGCCATTCACAGCTGCTGGCAATTGGTCTAGGTAGCAGTATTCCTTTTGGTCTTTGAACTCATTATCATTAGTTGAACCAATTTTATCATTAAGATAAAAAAATGTATTATTAATGACATTTCTTATACCATGTAATGATATAAATGATTTCCAATCATGTTTTTATATATTTCAGTTGATTTCCCTGATCCATTTTCAGTTTCTTTGATCTCCGATACTAAAATTATTCATGGTTCATGAAACCCGATTGATTTTGATTAGGATCTTGATCTGAAAAAGGGTCTTGTTCCCTTGATCAAACCCTCTAACTAAATGGTTTATACGTTGGTATGAACTTATAAGCAGTATACTTTTATAGATTATTGGCCGCTATGATAATTCAAAAGAATAGTAATTTTCAGAATAGATGTGCATATAATATGAATTTTCTAGTTTATCATTATTTTTATAATCAATGATAATATTTATTTTATTTTCAGTCAGTTTTAAATCAAATAAAATTATAATTGTTTTATTAATTATTGATTTAGGGATTACTTTCTTATTGAAACTGTACCACTGAGAAATTGTATTGGGGGTATTATATTATTTCCATAAAAAAAAACTGTTATTGTGATCTTTTTAAATATAATTCCTGAGTTTTCCATAGTTTTAATATTTACTGTAGCATACTTGGAACTTTTTTAAATTTTATTGAATGATGTATTTGAAATCTTGTCTGTAGATTTTTCTGTATATATGATACGAGAGCATTGTGTTGAAGTTGATTTAGAAAACTATTATCATTTTGATCTTGAGCATCATTAAAGTATTTCAAAGTTTATCACACATTACCAGTATTTTAGTTCTATATTTTTCTACACTATGGTTTATTTGCTTCATTAGGTTTTTGACATTAGGTTGAAGGTTTAATACTAGATTTTGTTATTTTGGTTTTATAGTCTAAAGTCCTATATAACACTACATGATCTAGGAAAAATCTAGGCTTTTAAGTGTAAAGCGAATTTGGCAACAAAATTACCACTTAATTCTGTTGAGGATGCACATGATTTGTAGATAGGATTTTTTGGAATTGTTAAAAGTCAGAATTTTTTAACTTGTTCTTGTTTTTAAATTTGACATAGACTTCTTAAAAACTTTTTTTTTTTCATATATCATTTGAGGTCAAAAAAGAGTACTTCCATAAGTTCTTTAAGTAGTGCTGCATGTTCATATTTGATATTATTTTCACTGTTTAAAAATATTGATATTTCCATTAATTTATTTTTCAAATTTTAGTAACATTCTCCAAGAAATTCACCATTTTAACATTTGTGCCTTTTTTTTGAAAAATACAAGACTGTTATAAATACAAGTAATTTAAATTAATTATAATATAAGTACATCATTGATTAAGAATACCTACATCATTCTTTTTCCACAAAACTCCATTTTTTTAAACTAGAATGTAAGGACACCTCTTCATTGTTAATGACAATATCACTAGATCCACGACTTTTCCTGGGCATTATTGACTGTTGTATAATTACATCCAAATTAAAGTTTCTGGGATAAAAAGCTTTGTCTTATCACGCATATTGTAGTCTTAATTCAGCTGAAAATAATAGAATTAGAAAATTTATTTTGTAAAAAATATTATACAAGCTCGTTTTATTATCTCATTTGTATCTATGCATTTATCAATAGCAACTCGACTAGTATTGTAACACATATATATATTCTTAAGTTTTATTGCTACACAGACTCTAATTCAGACTGGACTGATCTCAAGTAACTACTTTACAGAATGTTTTACTAAGCGTATTGCTTAATGTTTAACGATATATGCAAAAACAAAAAATTAATTTTATACAAATATTGGTAGGTATCTATTGAAAAGGTAACATTTTAAGCGATCAGTCTAAAATATAAATACTATTTTATTAAAATTAATTTTAATATAACAGTTGTATTAATTTTGAATCCTTAAATGTGAATATATTTGAAATAAATCAAATTTGGTGGACATTTTCTTAACCAAAACAAAAGCCCTTGAAAAAATGTATTATTTCCACTGTTAGTAAAATAATTAGGAACTATGAATAAATCTATATCCCCCTAGTGTTTCTACTAGGTATACGGAAACCAATTTCAGCCAATAGTTCAGAACAGTCAATGGGGTTGTTTAAAACACTACACAATATTACTAATTGGATGTTATTTTTAATAATATTGATGTAAACATACATTTTTTCACGAAAGTATAAATACGTCTTATTTGACAATATCTACAATCTCTTCAAACAATTGTAATACAAATATTAAATATATCAAGTACAAGCATACCTATTGTGTGCATTTAATTTTCCGTACATATAACCTTAAAATATAATGATGTTTATGTCAACAAATTTTTGAAATATATTTTCATTATTCAGAATGACCGAAACTAAACCCTTTTTATTTGTCCGCATCGTAACCAAAATAAGAGTTTTATAAGAATAATCTATACAATTAATTAATAAATAAAAAAAATATAAAATAATTAGGTATATGTCATTAGAATGCCATACGACTATAACAGTACTTATTATAACAATCGATAAACGTACGATGACCGCTGTACTAAGCATAAGTCAATGGGACCATAATGTTAACAATATTATAAAAATGTCAAATACTTACCACAAAACCATAACCGGAAGACGAGACAAATATATTTTACTCGAGGAACGCGTAAGACGAAAATAGTGGCACAAAGATTAAAAAGAATGAAACGCCAGCAAGGCGAATAGTAAACGCGAAATGGAGAACAAAAAAACGCCCGTTCGATATTTCGTATTTTCGGATACGAAAAACAAGGCGAAAATGACGACACAAATATTACTACAGGACGGTAGGCCTACAAGGCCGATAGTAACCACAAAATGGTAAATAGTAAAGCATACGTCCAATATTATATTTTCGTACTGTATGTATACGCAGTACGTTTGAAAAAAACAAACTAAAAATGATAATAATAAAATAAACAGTGAGGACAACATAACTACGGATTGCATGAGATGATAACTATACATACGAGTCCACATGTCCATTTGTCTGCATCGGATGGATCGTATCATCGATCCCGGTTTGGGTAGTACTGTAATTTGGCCTTGAGTTGTTAAATACTAGAAATTCGATGGCGCAAACCGTTTTGAAACATTGTTTTTAATCGGAACCACTATCAATGATCCCCGTTAATTTTTAATTTACACCGGTTTAGTTAAAAATTCGAGACTTAAATAACCTACTTCTCCCACCATAGGACATAACTTGTCAGATGTTTTATTGGTTTTAATAAAACATCGATTACTACGATTACTTATAGAAGTCTATTATGATTATATTATAATAGTGAAACCATAGAAAAAAGGTTAACTGTTGCACAAAATGGATAACATAAAATTAAAAATATTCAAAGATTTTATCTTTAACCAACAAAACCATATTTTACATGAAACTGCATTGCAAGCGATAATTTCTGTTCGAGAGAGAAAGTTTTTCCAAATTATATCTAAAAATGTAAGTACCAATCTAGTAGTATTAGTAGTAGTAAATAATTGATTTTATTAGACATTGTATCTCACCCATTAAGCTTAAAAAATGATGATGATACTGATACAATATAGTTCCATTCTATAGGACATTTTAGTTAAAGAATTATCAACAGAAAAAGTAATGAAAACTAAAATATACTACTTTGCCAAACTGATAGTGCCAAGATTTTCAGATAAAGAATTTAAATCTCATTCTTGTCTGAATCGAAGCAGTAGTATTGAAGTAAAATAATTTTTTTTATAATATTGTATGACTTATTAGTTATTGTATTTTATTTTATGTAAACTATATTTTTTTTAAGAAAATATTGTCGTACATTGGTCCAACTTTGTTAAGCTATAATTCAAAATCTACTGTTGAAAAACGAATTTTATTGTTTATATGGTACATAGCAAATTGTGAGACACACAAGTGAGAAATAATACATTATTAATATACAATTAACTACCTATTAATATTAATTATTATGTTTATGTCGCATCCACTTAGTGTAATCGTATTTTTCATGAAATGGATGTTCATTTCATGAACTACGATCATAACGTGTAAGTCAAATTTTAGTTCATGAAACGGACATATATTTTATCCATTTCATGAAATGGAAACTCTTATTTTACACTTTGTGTAATATTTTAAATTAATTACATCAATAAGTAACTTTTCGTGAAATCGAAATAATAACATTGATACTGGTACGTATCACACCGTACTATATTTATTATTAATAAATAGTAAAGATGAGATATCGACCGTTCAACAGATAAATTTTAGTCGATAAAATATATATTTAATCAAAATTAAATTGAATCAANACATTTTAGCAGCAAAAGTAAAAATGTAAGTAATCGTTAAAATATACAAAATATTAGTAAATAAAAATTATATATTAAGAAACTTCAAATAAAATTATTACTATCAGCCATCAGGGCTTGTCTTACTAACACGTAACATAGCAAATTTACGCTCAGCAGTTCACGTTTTATTCCGTTGGATTAAAAATTAGATAATAAATATTTAAATAATATTATTTAATATTTACATTAAATATTTGTTTATAATTTGAAATTTACATTATTTTTTAGTGGCAAAAAAAAAGAGGCGAGATTATTATCTCATCAAAACGTATGATGTCCTGTTCGTTACAGATCAAAAGTTTTTGGTTTATATAAAAACTAATGAAGACGAAGACATAAGGTAATTTTTGATTTGATTTTTATAATTTGCAATCTGTATTATTGATTTAATTATTTTAATCAGGTACGTTGTACCATACGAAGAGTTATTAAGGATTTTCATATTAAAACAGAACATGATGGAATTGTTAAATTACGTATGTCAATGAGTCATAAATACAAAATTCAGAGACCAGCAATAGAAAAGTTTTTGTCTGTATGTGCAATATGTAATTCCAAGCAAGGAGCAAATCGGAAACTAGTTATAAAACCAATTATAACTAAAGATTTTAATGAAAGGGGCCAAGTCGATTTAGTCGATCTCCAGTCAACACCTGATAGTAAATATAAATGGATCATGAATTATCAGGACCACAATACAAAATTTGTATTATTGCATCCACTTGAAAGGAAACGGGCTATAGAAGTGGCAAACAGATTACTCACTATTTTTCTTACATTTGGGACTCCTAAAATACTTCAAAGTGATAATGAACGAGAATTTGTGAACTCCATTATTAAGGAATTAAAGGATCTGTGGCCACAATGTGTAATAGTCCACGGTTGACCACATCATCCCCAAAGTCAGGAAAGCATTGAAAGAAGTAATCAAGACATTGAGAATATGATTCGTGTTTGGATGATGGATAACCAATCTAAAAAATGGTCAGTTGGATTACAATTTGTACAGTTTCAAAAAAATTCGTCTTTCCATCGAGCAATAGGATGATCGCCGTATAAAGCTTTATTCGGATGTGACCCGAAAAATGGATTGTCATCATCAAATCTTCCATCGGAAATAATAAAAAAACTAACCACTGAAGAACATCTTGAAGAAATTTTAAATAATATTCAACCTAAACATGAAAAAGAAGGAATTACATCATATTGTAGCATTTGCAATATAGAAATGTTAACTGAGTTTGAATTTTCCGAAAACTGTTATTTGCAAACAACGTCAACTTGGATCTCAAGGACAAGAAAAAGCGGCTAAAATCATGTTAAAGGTGTCTTTTTAAATCATTTTACCTATTTAATCTATTTTTTTGTTTAAAATTATTGTACTATCATTGTTTTTAGGGCAGTCAAACCAGAATTCCTGATTTAAAAATCGGTGATTGCAGTGCCTAAAGTTGATCGAGGACCGTCAGATCTCGCCAATGAAATTGCAGTTATTGTCAATCAGAATGAACATAAACTTCACCAACTCAGAACTAAATATGGTTTAGTAAAAGGCTGGTACAATTCAGCAAGTTTGAAACCCGCGACATCTAATTTTTTTTAAAATTACTGAAGTTAATAATGATAAAGAACTTACGTTATGTGAAACAAAATGGTGTGCTTGTTTTAACGCTTCTGTTAAGTGTAACAGTCGTTGCCATAGCAGTAATAATATTTGTAAAAATAAGTAGTAAGAAGTATTTTTGGTTTTTTTTTTTCATAATATAATAATTAATATTTAAATAATTTTAAATTTATTGATGTAATTAATTTAAAATATTACACAAAGTGTAAAATAAGAGTTTCCATTTCATGAAATGGATAAAATATATGTCCGGTTCATGAACTAAAATTTGACTTGCATGTTATGATTATAGTCCATGAAATGAACATCCATTTCATGAAAAATACAATTACACTAAGTGGATACGACATATAAATTGTATAGGTACTATTAATTGGGTAGATTCAAAATTAAATCTTTAATTTCAGAAAAATAGCAAATGGATTCAATGTAGTGGAAAGTACAAGTCATACAATAGTAATGAACTATTTAGAAGCTTTCATAAATATTGCTGATAAAATAATTATTTGGTCTTTAAGCAGGGATGCTATAGTTAATATTTCTAAATACAATAGATTATGAAGAAATAATTCCTTCCCAAATGTCTTAGGGTACATTGGTGGTTGCCATATAAATACATTGTATCCTTGAGAAAAGAGACAAAAAATGGCCAAAATTGATAGGAATATATTTTATAGTAGAAAACAAGTTCTTCTGTCATAAAACAGGTCAATTTTTACTGTATTTATTTCTACTCAATTATCAACTTAAAATATTTTAATTGATTTTGCTATAATATAAAATAAAGAAAAATAAACTTTAGTAGTTAAATTAATAGTTACTATAATAAACAATTGATTAATTAAATTTAATCAGTTGTTTAATTTTTATACTTGTTTATTTGTTCAGGGTATAATGGACGCTGACATGAAGTTAATGGATGTCTTTCAGGTTAGCCAGGATGTTCACATGATGCTCATGTGTTTGCTGCTGCATAATTGGACAAAAAATAATAAATGATTCGTGATCAGTTTTGCTACAATCAAGTCAAATTCTAGGTAATGGGACATATCCACTTTCTGAAAGCCTTATGAATCCATACAAAAATAATGGTCATTTAACAAGAGAACAAACAAATTTCACCAAAACACTCAGTAGTACAAGAGTACTAGTATAATTAATTTGTTAATTAGAAAACTAATTTCAAGATTTAGGAAGTTGAAGTACTTATAAAATCTTTTAAAATAACATGCACTTGATTAAACTAAAATTAATTAACTTTTATACTTTAATTGCAGATACATGGATATTTACTATTCAAAAAAGAAAATTATAACAACAGCCTGCTGCCTACACAATATTTGTATAATGATGAAGGACAATTTTGATTATGACACAGTAGGAGCTTCGGAAAATTTATTTATTGTAGATGATGAAGAAACAACAACAGGATAAACAAATAGGGATAATATATACAACTCATTATCTAATGATACAAATGTATTGTAAAAAAATAAATAATATAATATTACTTTTTTTTTTTTTTTTTTTAAATTGGTGTATGTTCTTTATTTGAATCAGATTCAGATATCTGCTGATTGGGTCAATCCTAGAATAGAATACAATTTGTGTTATATTTGCAGTTTCCTCTAAGTAATGTAATACATTTATGTAATTAATGTTTTTAATTTAATAATATGAAAACAAATGCTTATTTATTCAGACTTCTTTATAACAATATTAACACTAGAAAAAAAACATTCTTGAGAAAAACAATAGTAGGTTACTATTGTTAACATGAAATATAAATACGAGGGCTAATCAAAAAGTATCGAGACTGATCATATTATTCGGAAACCGCGTTGAAGAGCAAAACGATTTGTAAACCTAGCTTCTATGACTTATACTGAGCACATCTATTCGTATAAAGTCTATAAACTTCTTCGTTTTGATTTGATGATATTTTTCTAAAATTTGTTTTTCACGTTTGGCGATTTAGTAATGAATTCAAAAGAAGCAGAACTCGCTGCTAGTTTTTCAATTGACATTTAATGGCAAAAACCATGAAATGTTGCATCCCTTTGAAACTGGAAAAAAATGCAGAAAAATTTTTTAAAATCTTCAAATCTGTCAAGTTACTCTTCTTTTGGGTTTATTACAAAATCGCCAAATTCGAAAAATATATTTTACAAAAATATCAGTGAAATCAAACTGAAGAATTTTATAGAGAAGCAATAAAAACAAATGTACTCAGGAAAAGTCATAGAAGCAAGTGATACCAATCCTACTGTTCTTCGATGCTCCTTTTCTGAATGATACTACCAGTCTTGATACTTTTTGATTAGCCCTGGTATAAGGATACATTAAAAACATTAATAACAATAGTAATTTACTCTTTCGATTGATTAATATTTATTTAATATTAATTAGGTAATTAAGTTTAAATTGAACATATTTTTAAAAAAATTAAGTTTCTATTTCTATTTGATCAGCATCATCTAACCTTTTTCATTATGTTCTGTTGGATTTTCATAATACTTTCTTCTCTTTGTTCCGACTTATCAAGCCTAAGAAACAAAAATAAGAAAATTAAATAATTTAAAATATATTTTAATATTAAGTTTTTAATTTTTATTTTAAATATCAATAAATGTAACCTAACCATTTCTGAATTATTAAGAAATTTATTTATTTATTTTGCATATGACATCGCCTTATTTATAAGATATAAAATATTAGTTAAATACAATAGATTAGACAGAGATATGTTAAACTATGATAAATGAGTAAGAAATTATAACAAAAATAAGTATTAGATAAATTTAAACTTAAAATTACAATAATATATCAACTTTTAAAATGTGACAAAACTATCCTAAATTTAAAGGTAACTGGACCAAGAACTTTGTTTCTTATTAGAGTCCTATTGCTTGATTGTTTAGCCAATTAATTACCTCTGAATTAGCTTCATGTAATTTTGCTATTCCTCCATCAAATTTAGTAATTGGTTATTCTTCCACAATATGCTTGATAGTTTGTTTGGTTCCACAAGAGCATAGAGGAGTGTGTTCCATTCCTCATTTATGTAGTAAACTTTTGCATCTGCCTTGCTCAGTTCTTATTCTATTCAAGGTTGACCATAACTTCCGTGGAAGATCAAAACCCGGGGTTCTTATCTCTGGATTTTCAATCAAGGTAACTCCTCGCACACCTGAGTCTTTCCATTGTGTTTTCCATGTTATCGATAGAGCTTCTACTGGAAATGTAAGGTCCCATATTGGGTGTCTTGATTTAAGACTTTTATGAGGGTGTGTAGTAATATTTTCATATAATGGTAGTTTAGGGTTTCTTTTAATCTTGTCCACCATGCGTTCAGCATGCATCAATCTGCGTGGGTCCGGTGGGGCTATATTCTCCAACACTGGTAACCATTGTACTTCAGTTGTTCTTATTGAACCTGTAATAATTCTCATTGTTTGGTTTAACTCCGTGAAAACCTTTTTGCAATATGAACTGAACCAAACTAGAGCACAGTATTCAGCTACGCTGTATACCAGAGCTAATGCTAATACACGTAGAACTGTTGTGTCGCTTCCCCAGGTCGATCCTGCTAGTTTTGAAATAATATTATTCCTCGCTTTTAGTTTATTTTTTAACCCTTCTAGGTGTTAAAAGAAAATACTTATGGTAAATTCAATTGTATGTATGTAAATTACATAATTACTATACAAATATTAAATAACTTACCTATCTTTGAGCTAAAATGCATTTTCTTGTGACTGTTCAAGTTGTTTAAGTTTAAGTCCTTCAAACTTGTCAAACCATAAGGGAGTTTTAGGATAACCTAGATGCAATGGAAGCGAAGCCAGCAGTGTTATACAAGATTAGATGTTTTTTAATCCAGACAGTTAATTTTTAGAGCTTGAGTTAACATTTTAACTGTTTGATGATTCATATAATAAGTCTAAATATAATTATTAAATTTAAATTATTATAATTCTTATATGAATTAGTTAAAAATAGCGTTACTTTTTAGTGGAGAAACAGCTTGTTTTCCCACATCATCCAAAGCATGTAGAAGCATGAACAATTATAATACTGCCATTTTACTACACCAGAACCCGATTTTAGATTCCAAGCATAACGAGGAAGCTATTGGGTTTACTAAGATGTTTATTTTTTTTCTCCTTCTAGTCTGTGGACACGTTTTTTCCTAGTAAACTTACTCCGATTTTTAAGTGTAGAAACTTTTTTGAAAGCTCAAGTTGTCTAGATGGTATTTTAAAAATAACATTTTTTGATTTTTGACCCCGGTTTTTAAATAAAAGAACTTAAGTAAGAAAAAACATAGAAAAACGTACAATTTCATAATTTCATTGTTTTATAAAAAAAAAAGCAAAATGTTTTCTATCCATCGGAAAAATTATTCAATCGTAAAATAACAAGACTCTTTTTTTGTTGCCTTTCTGAGTTACTTTTATACTGTATCATCGCCAAATTTTTTGAGTCACTTTAGAGCTTTTAAGTTATTTTAAGTTTTGGGAGTTTTTTACTCTAATTCGGTTATAAATACATATAGAGACTTGAAACTTGGTATTAAAACTTACATTTGACTTACCTAGACGTGATATAATTTCCAAAATCATCGACGATTGTTTTCGCTTTTTTTTAATTTTTTTACTGTAGTTTTTTTTTATATACTGTAGACCACTTTATTTTAGAAGACTTGCTCTAATGTATAAGTGTAACACCTTTTCTGAACGTTAATTTTATGTACTTAGAAAATACATTTTTTGTATTTTTCGGTCATTTTTTGATTTTCGAACCGGTATTAAAAATAAAAACGATTAGCCGGGAAAAAATACGTTTTTTTCATGATTTTGTTATTTTAAATAAGTACCTACCACGTTTTCTAGCACAAATACGACTCCAATTGAAAAACGACAAGAGACCTTTTTTGTTCAATTAGTAATCTTGTTTTAAATGATGTAGTTAGGTTTTTTTGATTTTCGAATTAGTTTTCATAATAATCGGAAAAAACGTAGGAAGGTTAGGTTAAAAAAATTACAGCACTTCAAATTATTTATTACCAAACTGCGCTCGGTATCGTCTTTCGTCAGCTATAGTTTATCGTTGCTAACAGATCTAAATGAAATAACCTTATTTATCTTACCTTTCTAACTTCTTACTTATACAAGTGGCTGCATCCGTCTCCAGTATCAGCTCGTTTTTTAAATTTTGCCATAAAAAAAAAAAAATTATGTTGTAAAATGGAATATAATTTGCTATTATTTTAATAATCAAATAATTTAAATACATAAGAATACTTCAAAATTACAAAATTGTATAATATAGCAAAGTAGAAAAAATCGAACAAATAATTTATATATGTAAATCTAAGTTATTCTACTTACAATACATTACCATTGATCACAAATAATATTATTTATACTTATAATAGATGTTACTGCAATACTACATACTAATCTCTATGTACGAATATATGATTTTATAATTAATTACATCACATCGGGTTTCACACATAATACAAATTAAAATACACAAATAATAAATTAAGTTATTTTACATTTATTATTAAAATTTCATTGTCTAATATGTTGCCGTAAATGGAAACTTATTTAAAATATTTTTAACATTATCTTCGTTCAACAATGGTTCAAAATTGAACAAGTAATTTAGCGTTAATTTTTATGAATTATGAAGCAACACAACTCCTTGATATCAACGATCTTATCAACAAGTTTTCCAAGACTTGAAGTTCATAGAGATTCTCAACTATAATTTTGTAAGTTTATTTTATTTTATTTTATACTAACTATAAATTTTGTTTTATTTTTTAAAAATGGTGTACATTTTTGTTTAACAAAAATATTTGTTATTATAAAATGAATGTAGGTTGGTTATTATTTATCTCGAGTAAAGCGAGCGTTTTTGTAAATATGAGGTAAATATTTGAACCCTTCAATCCGCTACTGCTATCAATTTATCCACTTTTTACTTGACTCACATCAATATGTGTATGACAATACCTACATTAATATTAAATATTATTAAAATTTAAATGGAATACAAAGGGTTTCGCTATAAACTCAACAAAACAAATTTGTTTGTAATTCGAATATTTTAAAATATGTCTCATTTTTTTTTTTTTTTTTTGTTAATAATCCGTTTGCTATTGTATCTACATTTCTAGTAGAAAATGTGTTCACAGAAAAATAATCAATGTTGTACATTACAACATACAAGTAAATCATTTCCACTTACACATTTGCAAATTGAAACCAAAATAAATGGCCTAACTCAACTCTCATACGTTGACTGTTGTGTAGATATTATAAAATTTAACATTTTTAATAAACAATTTAACTGAAATTTGCAATAAAGATAAAAAACTAATTGCAATGTTTTTCATTTTAAAATAAGATGTACGAAATTTCTCTTCCTATTATTTATTTATTATCACACTTTTTGGAAGATTTGACCTTATCTCTTTGACCCGGTCGTCTGTAATATTTTCGGATGAAATACTGTCGGCTAAAATTTTTTTTGGCTTGAATACTGTTCGGTTGAATTGTTTCGAATTTTTTACACACTTTCCCTATTGAAGCCACTAAGTAACCTCTTATGTACTCTTTTTAGATAATGATAAGAGAGTTCAGTGGTTACCAAAAATGTACAAATAGCTATTAAGGCGTTAAATAAGCACAAATGTACAATAAGAAGCCTACAGAATGACGGCAGGAGCTTAGGGTAGGTAAAAGTGTTCTAGTTTACCTAGTTATAATAAAGTTTTTGGCCAAATGAGTTACATAATATTATGATCTAAAACTATGCCATACTTTAAATATTAATATAAATTAATTTTTTTCAGTTTTAATATTGTATAATATATTTTTCTACATTTTAATATCAATTATCACAATATGTTATTTTATGTACAATTGTAATTGATAAGAACCGCTCCTCCAGCACAAGCTTGGCTTATAGGGGGTGCTGCAATTTAATTCATGTGTAGTGTTTATTAAATGTATCACCTGTTGTATTTTATAAAATATTAAAAAGAAAAAAAACCAAAATTTAAAAAAAATTAACTATATACCTAATTTAGGTGGACCTCAGTAAACAATTTAGGAGGGGGCCCCGTCGGCATTTGCCAACTAAACGACCGTTAAATCCACCACTGGTCTATGGACGAGTGGAAACACTTAAGACCAAAATTTCCGTGATAACAGCCAATATAAATGATAAAATTATGATGTGATAATAATATTTCTAAACTGAATCGACGTTAATTTATGTTTTGAAATTAAAAATGCATATTTTAATTCATTGTAATCAAATCGGTTACTAATAAATTAATTTGTATCAATTGTTTTATGTAAATAATAATTTTTAATTTTTAAAATAATGTTTTCAGGACGATATAATTTTACTTAAAAAAAATCAAATAAGCATAGTTACATAATTAGAGTATTTTAATACATATTTTGGTCGTATAAATATTTTTGTATTATAAACACATATAAATCCGATCCCTAGTGATAAATAAAATGTATTCACAAATACTTAGTATTTAGTAGTTAGTACATAATTTAAAGTATATTATTATGTGTAAAACAGTTAAGTAACTAAGATCTTATTTTGAGGGATGATTTGAGTATTTGTCATTAATAATATTAATATTTAACATACAAAAAGAAAGTTTTGGGAGGTGATATATCACGTACATCACCTTCCCCCTCTAGTTACGCCACTGGTGTGATATGAATACATCGTCCACTGACGCACCTAACCGTTTCTTATTTTCAATCGCCTTGTAGCATTTGTTAAAATTAGTGCCCAATATATTTATTTTTTGTTTCAATTTCTCTACTGTTAAATCATATTTATACGGCTTCAAAGTTTCCGACATTGTTTGGAGTGCTTTAACTTTTTTATTTTTATTGAAAAAATTTTTTGCTCACAATTGCCATAGTTCAGTATGATAACAATATCAATTTATCAAAACGGTTAAAAACTCACACTCACCAACCGATTGGTCGTCAAGCGGTGGTATCGATAGTTCTGCCATGCTGTCAGACTGGTGAATAATGATAATTTCGGAAATATTGACAATAAACGCTCTTAGACGTTCAATATGTTCTGTTAATCGTGCCCGTCAATGAGCAACAATCAAAATGTGTACCAATCTCAATGATTGACAATCCACATCAATATCCTTTCTGACGTGTGTATACTAAATGCGACGACGGATTCCATATCTTGTCGCACGGAATTATTAATTTATAATTAACAAATTTTACACGTAAATGACATAGTCCGTAACAAATTCAACAAAAAAGATTTTAGGAGTACACAGGGGAGGGGGTTGGGGTTTCGAACCCCCCTTCCCGAAAATTAATAGTTGTGTAATACATTTGTATAAATTTAATATTTTTAGATTCTGAGTGGAGCAAAGAAGCTTATGGTTTTACAAAGATGTTAATTTTTTTTTCTTTTATCTGTTAACAATTTTTCTAGCAGAAGACTTGCTCGGATTTCTAAATGTAGTACCTTTTCTGAAAGGAAATCGGTGTGGGGAGGTACTTTAAAAAGGTTATTATTTGATTTTCTCAAGTTTTCTCATAAAATCCGAAAAATCAAAGAAAAACAGGAAAATGTACGAAATATTTTAGTAAAATATTACGGTTTTTTTTTGTGGATAACTTTTCTACCAGCAATTTTACTCCAACTTATAATGATAACAAGTTTTCTAGAAGGACATTTGACTGGATAGGTACTTAAACGAGGTCATTTTTTGATTTCTCAACAAATGTGAAAAACCGATAAAAAACGGGAAAAACGTAAGAAAAACATTTTAATTTTAGAATTTGAATAATTAGAATTTCATCATAATTTTTCATAAACATAAGAATTGTTGACAAAGTAGCACTATCAACTGAACTCCACTCAAAATCGTTTTTTCGTTAGCAATGGTTTATCGTTGCTCACAGGTGTACATTAAATTACTTATAACAGTGGCTGCACCCGACCCCATTATCTTAGGATATATTTTTAGATTTATTTTTTAATATTTCATAACCTATGCAATCCATAGATATCACAAATCCACAAATTCGTTGAGAGTAACCAGTGACTTTCCCCTCAAAATTGGAATTGGTTACAAAATGATGAAATTCGTTTGGTTTCACCGGACTCACTGATTACAAATCGGTCACAAAATTTCGTATTTTATTGAATTCGAATTTATTTAGCTATTATCATATAGCTGTTTAAGTTATTTTCGTTTTATCGTTGTCTATTTGTCTATCGTACAAAATTAGTCTCTTCTTATTATTTCTTATTGTTATTTTGCAACAATAGAAGTGGTAAGTCATCTATAAAGAATGTAAGTTAAACGAATATCTTCTGTATGTATAATATGATTATGAAATATTAAAAAATAAATCTAAAAATACAAACATTATACATACATCAATAGCGATGTGCCGTTTCACATTATTATTATTAATATTTATTATGCAGTTTTAATCCGTTATTTTGATACAAGCTATTGTTTTCAATCTTTTTGAAATCAATATAACGATATCAGCTTTATTTTAAAACATAAGCAGTGGCGTGCCCAGCAGGTAGGCCTGGTAGGCCCAGGCCTACCCTGTTTTCAAATAATAATTATTAATATTTTTCAAGAAACATAATTTTATACATTTTTTTCTTCATAATACGATATGTAATTGAATCATTTTGGAACAAAGATTATTTATTTATTACCCACTTACAGCAAGCATTTATGCGTTTTTATGCGTTATTATTAATTCTTTCCTTCGTGGCAAACAATTGTAGCCACAGTACTGCTTATCGGCTAAAATGTACGACTAAAAATAGTAAATAATAGACAATAATACATCCGATTACCCGAAGTGAGTTATTTATACATTCGTCACTGGCCGTTTACTGCCGACAATCGTCATTTGATATAAGATAATGAATATGGTTTATAATAATGTTATTTTTTGGTATTAATAATTTATTAGTTTATTACAGTGTGTACTGTGTAGACGTATTATAGTGACTTGTATGTAACCAAGCCGATCGAGGAAATCGTTTTGTCTGTTTTTGTTTGTGTACACTATTAGAATAACCTAAGTACTTTTTTATTTTATATTGGTTATAACTTGACTAATTCGTATNCAACCTATTCAGCCGATTATCAATTTTCCACGTCGTAAAATTTGTGAAAAACAACGTAGTTTTCAAAGTTCATGGTACAAAGTTTATCCTTGGATTGAATATTCTGTTTTTTTTTTGTCTTCATTTTACTAGTTCTATGTCTCGTGAAAAGCATCAAGATGTTTGAATAGCCACAGGATATAATAATTGGGAAAAATATTTCGGGGATGGCAAAAAAACATAACTCGGCAGATTCCCATAAAACATCATTAGCCAAATATCAAGGTTCTATATCATCAAAAAGTATAGGAGCTGTTACGACTTAAATGAATAGACATGTCGAAGAGAATATAAATAAAAATCGAGAAGTATTAAAAATTGAATGAAGGTAGTTCGGTTTATAGTTTAATTGTTGATGAAGCTCGTGATGCGTCAACATTTGAACAAATTTCAATATGTATTAGGTATGTACATAAATTAACTATAAAAGAAAGGTTCTTAGGATTTGTACAAGTAGAAGAATTAGATGCACTAGGCCTAACTAATTCTATTATCGAATTTTTAAATTCATTTGGTTTAGATATATCAGTATTCAATCCGATATCGACCAACTTTTTAAATGATGATTTTGTTTTAAAGTGTATAAATTATTATGGAGATGATAATTATTTCTCTGACCAAGTAATAAGTCAAAGCAAATTAGCAAAAAATATGTACAGTAGTTGTAAAAATATCATAGATTTTTACAAAGAAATATGCATTATGGGGCAGTCATTTGGAGAAATTAAAAAAGTCATTGAATGAGTGTTAGTTATACCTGTAAGTTCAGCATCGGCCGAAAGAAGTTTTTCAACAATGAAAAGGATAAAAACTTATTTACGAACATCTATGTCTACTACACGTCTTCATAATTTAACGTTAATTTCTCTTGAGAGGGAGTTAAGTTTTGAATATAATTCAGGATCTTACAAAGATTGTTGACGAGTTTGCTAAATTGAAAAATCGAAGACTTCAATTCACTAAATAATTATTATATTTTATATTTTTATGTATTTATAATTAAAAAAACTATTGTTTTATTTGTATTCATTTATTATTCAGTTATATAAAAACTTAATTTTATTTTTTAATATCTTAAAATATTATTAACAAGTCAAACAGGAGGAATAATTTGTGTTGTATTATATTATTTTATAATCATATTTTCTAATTCAATTTAAAAATATTATAAAGTTTCAAACAAAAAAAAAAAAAAATAATATGTATTGTGTACATATTATATAAACTAAAATAATTATAACCGGGCCTATCCTACATTTTGATCCAGGGCACGCCTCTGAACATAAGTAAAAAATAATATAACTATAATTTCTACATTTCTTCGTATTTCTATATAGGTAATTAAAAAATATGATATGTAATGCAAAACAAAATTACTTTGATAATTGAAATCATATAGGACGGGCTAGCCGGAGTCCGAAAAGATTTTAGGGTGGGCCGCGGTCATTGGGGCTGAGTGAGCTACAGACAATACCATAATGAATGTATGTGGATGGCATAAAAGTACTTTTGTGCCACCAGGCATATTTATAAATATATACGTACCTATGTAAACATGAATAAATTTCTCCTTTTGTCTCCCCCCCGAAAAAAAAATATCTGGGAAATAGTGGTTTTAAATAAAAACAGATTAAATTTTGGGACACTAGATTCGCGCCTGGTTTCTATTACATTTTGTCAACCGGAAAATATTATAACAATTCTAAACCAAATATTTAAAATGTATACATATTTTTTAAGACGCAATTAGAATTTTATATAAAGTACATACTGCACATGTACCGATTTTGAGTGTGTATTTTGAATTTTTAACCTGTAGACGTCAGCGTAACTGTTCTATAAAAATACTCGTCAGTTCTGAAAATTCGTTGCTAATAAATTTATTTATAAAATTGTTGATATTTGTTTACATATATTTCGTTTAAATAGTTTATCGACATCGCGGACGGTATATATAATACGAAACACAAAATATTAATTAAAACCTTTTAATACATTTAAAAATATATAATCTAACCTATGTAGGTGATTAAATAGAGTAATGATTATTTTTATATAATATTTTCCTTGTTCGTTTATTTTAATCTTTTATTTTGCAATACAGTAAATTGTTGTTTGACAGGTGGTAGACGGTTACAACATAATAATAACAATTAATACAGCGATTTTGAAAAAAAAAATAACACTATCAGAATAATATTGTTAAATAATGAGATGACGAATTTAGTAAAATATTTTAATAACTCAAAAGAATAAAATATTTTTAATTTATGTACAAGTTAAGTTATATTATGTGTTGGCACAAACAATTCAATATTTGTCTTAATAAAAATACAATACTGTTCACTAATATGAAAATAATTGAGGGATTACTTTAAGGCTAGTTCCACACGGAGCAGATTCTTTCTGCGTCCGCGACCTTATTCGTGCCTTATTTACACACGAATCGGCTTTCTTACACACGAAGCGGATTATGAATGCGGTTTATTTATATTTTAAAATATTTCGCGCTAATTTATATCAAGAGTATAATATGAAATGTTCAAATATCACTTGAAAATATGATAGAAAAATATTAAGTACGCACGCGTCAACTTCCATGAATGAAAATCCGCTGAAAAAAAACTGCCAACGGTCGGTGGACGATCCACATCATATGAATATGAGTATTGGAAATCCACAAAATTCCGCATTTTAAGGAGGTCAATCGCGGTCGTTCGCTATCCAGTTTTCTTCATTTGAATATATCCATTGAAATATGGGCATTTAATTTTAAACAAAAATCAGCGGTGGTTAAAAACCGTGACCGCGCGCCGACGATCCGCTCCGTGTGTAACCAGCTTAATTATAAGAGCATGTTGTATAATGTATACAAAGCGTGCTCATCCCATTTGTTTGGTTAAATTTTGCATGTATTCAAACTCCAATTTTGGAATTCTTAATTGTTGTTAAAAAGACGCCACACCAACATCTACTGTCTCAGTCTTAAATAGTCTAGACATAGTAAATTTGCGTTCAGTAGAACATATTTTGTGCCGTTAGTTTTTTTATTTAAGCAAATTGACTTACTACCAAAATTAAAGATAAGAAGATTATATGTGCTTTAGCGTTAATGAAACTGCAATAGTAGGTATTATTAATTTTTCGTTTTACCAAATTCAGATTTAACTATAAACTATACGGCTCAATTACAGTGGCAGTTATATCTCAGTTCGAGAAAGGGGTGAATTAAATTCCACGGGGAGTCATGGGGTTCAACCCCTCCTATAGTCCTCATTGGAAATTAATTAAGTACTCTAAACTGTACAGAAAATATACAAATGTTTGTGATTTTAATTGAAACAATTATCTGTAACCCTACCAATGAAATTTTCTGAGCGTGCTTCTATTCAAATCCTTTTAATTTCAACAGCTTGTGCACAATTTGTATTTGATAATATTTTAAATATTAATTATTTAAATACCTATCAAAGTATACTAATGTAACAACTAAAATTTTAGTTATTACCATTGATCTTAGACGTAGCAATGTATATAATATAATATACTGAGTGAACAATCTATCGTAAGACACTCGTTATCTCGGAAAGTATTAACTTTTTCCGGAATTTATTTTCTAGAATATTTAAGAAACAATCTGCTTTACAATTTTATATTTATATTATTTTTATCACCCTTATATTTGGGGGTAAAATTACCAACTACTTTTGATTTTCAAATGGAAACATATATGAAAAATTCTATAAATAGATGGAGTATTAGTTAAAATACATTTTGGTGTTAAAATTTTTGATTTCCGTCAATCCGTTGACGAGATATTCCACTTTTAAGTTTAGGTTGGGGGAGAGTGGTGATGCAATATTAACATGCCGCCCGCTGTACCACCACACAAATGATACTGCACTTCTTTCATCCAACTCATTAATGTGAAAACCAACTGCTATTCAAATACATATTTGATAGATATCTAATGTAGGTATTTATAGTTTTTCTCACTAAACTTAAGTCTAACTAATCATATAAATTATTATGGTCTACTATTTAATAGGCGCAAAATTAGTTTTAAACGAACTGGGCAAGCAATCGATAAAAATGGAAACCATGTCTTATGCTTTCGTTTTGGAGAAAAGTAAATAGAACTTGAAAAATTTTTAAATCTATAGTTAGAAATATCAAATAATATTAAATTAGTACCCCTGTACAGGATGCCGTGATGTACACTTTAGGAACCCCTGTGAACACCAACAATATTATCGGCTTATTGTAAAATATTATTAACTGACGCACGGCCTTGCATCATTATTTATTTATAGCAAATGTATAAAATATTTTTCCCCACAGAATATTCGGATATCCAAAAAGCAACCGTTAGTATATAGCACTATTATAGCCAAACATTGCTTTTCATCCTAAATACTAGTCAGTTTATCACGTTATTTATGTTCGGAAATTTAACAACTGTCATTTATTTTACATTTTGTATACTGATAAACGACTAAACGGCCAAAGTATAGGCGCAATTTCAGTTTTTAACTTGGAGGGGCTCAATATTTTTAAATGAAACAGATCCACATCTGCCCCCCACACCCCCCATTCAAATATCAAAATCATAGTTATCTCGCCAATTTTCCTGCATAAATTATGGATCCATTAATAAAACTAAGAATATTTATATTAAAATTGAAAATTTGAAACACTTTATTTTTATCCATTATAACTAAGGGTTTTTAATAATAGCAGAACGACACTTCGAAATAAGTATATTACAAAAACGAAATATAAGTATTGAACGTATAAATTTTCAACTCGTAAACCGATGCACCGATGAACAATAGCGTTATGACTAGTTATTAGTTTAATCTTAGATATTAAGACCTAATAAGTGGGATTTATTGTGAACATCAGAACCAATTCTAAAANAAGGGTGGGGTATACGGTACCTACGCATATTGCATATCGCATACGGGCATACGTAAAATAGAAATGAAAAACAAGCCGACCCGCAGTGTACCCCGCCACTCATGGGAGTAAAAGTTATTGTAATATGGGTAATACCCACAAAGCCACAACGGACCAACACCCAAGGTTTATAGATAATAATAATCTATAAACCTTGCTAACACCATACATATATATTATATTATATTTTATATTGTATATATTTTCTATGACTAACACTATGTCGTTGCACGGGCTCGTTTCCATTATTTCCATGTTTAAATTTTAGAAACTATTTTTTTCAAACAACGTTTAACATATTATGTAGATTAGATAATTAATGAAGCATTTAATACTTAAATTTAAATACAAATTTTTGGAGGGGCTAAGCCCCTCCAAGTCCCCCCCCCAAATTGCGCCTATGGGCCAAAGTATATCATATCAAATAAAATGTGCTTATATTAACAATCAGTCAAATGTATTCTAAACTTTCATTAAAATGTTGTAATTGGAAATCGATTTGGACTACCCAGAACATAATTGAAAGTGTACCACTTTATTACATGTATAAACATTAAACATGCCTAACTAGTCAACTAGGTACTTACCATCATAATACACATTTTACTTTTTTAATATTTAATGATATATCATAACAATATTTGTAATGTAAAACTTTTTATCATTAAAAAACCATTTATTTTTTCTGCGGGCCAAACGGGAAGCAAAACGTAGTGTCGCAAGACTCTTATAACTCATAAACTGTAAATTCTATGTTAATGTTATGCGTATTAACATAATATATTATAGCATGATATTATGTAGAAAAACATTATCAACACAAATATGTGTTTAAAATGGGGAGGGGAGTTCGTATTCAAAAATCATAAGTTTACTCATGAGTATAAAATAAAATATAAATTCATTATTGTAAACTGTGGTACAGCAAAATTTTAGTTTCATCACACCACTGTTTTACAAAAGGATGAGAGACCGCTGAAACTATAAAAAGCCGTGCAACTTCACACATGGGTGGGACACTGTTGTAGGTGAGAAGTTGGGGAGGTAGTAGAGGGGGAATTTAATGCAGATATATATTAAGTGTAGTCAAACTACGAATATCTTGTAGCTCGGACCATAGTTATCAGAATATTATTTCATTATTTATCTAAACACTACAAAAAAAAAGACGGACATATTTTTCACAAAAAAGAACATCTTTGTAAAACCACATTTCGTTCCACTCAAAATGGATCACTTAGCATATCGGACAATTCTCTTTTAACTATTATGAACAATATATATATTTAAAAACTATTAACGTTAAAACTTCTACTTTGTTTTATGTTTGAGTACTTATTGACAAGTTGTGAAATTGAAAGACTTAAAATTTAAAATACATAATTTTGTCACTCTGTACAATATTTAAACAAATTGAGAAAGATTGCATAATAAAATTATAGTTATCTAAGTAATCTGTGTCTGATTTATTTTACTGACCAACATTTTAATCATCACATTTTCACAAAAAATATACCTGGTTTTTTTTTAAACAATTTAAAAATAAATGTTTGGTTTAGTCAAAAAAAGAATTCCACTGCATTTTATAAGGTTTTTTTTTAGATAAATATCTAAATATTTATTTACAAAACGACTTCTGAAGTTGTAGACCGATTTTGTTCCATAAAGCTGTACATTTGATTATTTTCTCACACCATCACACGAGTATCAGATGATCCATTTAAAAGGGTACACTTATTATCTCGGAAAGTTTTAAATTTTTCTGAGATTTGTTTTTTAAAACATTTAAAAACAAGCTGCTCTACAGTTTTATATTTATGTTATTTTTTGTCACCTTTATTTTTGGGGATAAACCACAAATTGATTTTGATATTTAAATGGTAACTTGTATGAAAAATGTCATAAATAGATGGAGTATTAGTTCAAGGGAAGGAAATTAGGAAATCAAAAATGTCAACACTACAATTTATTCAATTTCCGTCAATCCGTTGACGAGATGCTTCGCTTTTAAATTTGAATCGGAGTAGAGCGGCGGTTATTAATACACCGCGCGCCGTTCCGCCACACAATATTGATACTCCTCACAAATTCAAATTTCTAGAAACGCAATATTCCCTACCGCAGCAAACATTTCGTACCTAATTTACCATGGTTCCATTCCGCGGAGCGATCGCAATCTTTTCACGTGAATCGTTCGCTGTTTCCCTTCCATAATAATTACAAACCGATATGCGTACTCTATGTGCGTAGACTCTTACCGGATTGGCCGACTGGTGAGACGTATATCGCGACTGAGCGGTGTGCCGATGCCTATCTAAATTTAACGTTCATTTCATTTTCGCGTTCTGCGTCGCAACTATTATTCCTTTTCTGTGTCAACTTTTTACACTGCCGAAATTACCGGAACGATCCTGCAAACTTAATTTTTCTTAAAACCAAACCAATTTGTGAGTATTATATTATTATTATTAATCGTGGGCGTGTTCGTTACGCGCGCCGCCCGTGTACGCTAGGAAATTGTATATGATTTTTTTTACGAGCCGTTGGAAACCGCATGGTTTTGAAGTCTTCGTTTTTGTGTATGTTTCACGTTTTCGTCGAATCGTTATTATCATTATGGATGTTTCATTGTAATCTTTTTTCGATTGTTATTACTATATTATAGTATTGTTTTATATACTTATATTTAATTTGTAGTGTCACCTCCGTATTCACAAATTACCTATTCACATTCGCCGATTTTCTTATTACGAAAGTATAACCTAAATATTTCAAACTATTGACTTTGGATTTGCCAATTAGGTTATACCGTGTTTATCTCACCATTTTAGGTCCACTGTATATCGTGTCTTAAAAATTATTTATGTAAAATAATTTTTCAACCACAATTATTATTTTGTGTGCATTCCGTGGTTAGTTAATTCATAGCTAAAATTATTTTACCTTATTTAATATTATGTATGTACCTAGTGCTAAGTTTTTTAACATTATCGCTTTCAGAGCTACTAGTATTAGTGCTCAACTAAAGTCGCTTTTTCCGTAAAATATCAATTTTGATTACTTTCTTCATTTTACGTATATACCGACATTTTTAATTTTTAATGAAAATTTTTCAAATATATCACTTGTTTTAGGAACGGTTCTAATTTAGCTCCACGCGATTTTTTTTTTACCAAAATGTGTTAGCGAGTACATTGAGAATGTAAAAAAAAAAAGTCTGACGAACTTCATTAATAAGTTAGGGGGAAACTTCACAAAGTACGGGTTTTCCTTTTCGCGTATTTCTTAGTTAAAATTTACATTTAAAATTTTTTTCTTTCCAATATGTGTGTTATTAAACACTTAATCCATTGGTTTAATCAAAACGTACCCATCATACTTTTAAAGTTTTTGTATATAAACTTTAAAAAATAGCGTTTTTGGAATAAATCCAAAATGTGGTCAAAAATGGAATTTTTTTTTCATTGTTATTTGTAGTTATGATATTTATATAACAAAGTATTTTTTTTGAAGTTAGAATAAGTATCTGACTTAGTTTTAGAGTGACAGACATTCAAACGCCTCATATTTTCCCTCATTACTTCAAAATTTGGCCTTTTTTTTTTACAATCTTAATGTATACGCAAAAACAAATTGAAAAAAAAACCAAAAAAACGTGTGGTAGTTAAATTATAGAATTATGCATTATTTTTAAATTTAATTCATTAATTTACCAGTTATCATTTATTTTTAATTTTACATAAATTATCTTAATGAGTGTTTTTGCTGTTTTATAATTACAGGTTAATATATATTTATACCTACATCTTAACTTGTGGTTTAATAATAGATACGCTTAAGATTTAATTATCTACTTAGATTACAGAGATATATACACATACCATACATTTTATTTAGTATTGTAGAATAACAATTCAAGTGAATGAAAAATGAATAATTTTCAAATACTTATATACTAATGCTTTAAATAAATCAATGATAAAAAATAAAACTAAGTTTTCTTAGTGAAAGAACAAAATTTTCAAATAAATGAACATAAATATTCTTGTAAATGTATATTTATTCTTATTATGATTGTATCTAGATTATTTTTCTTTTGCATGTTACTTTTGTACTTGCTACATTTTCACTTGTGTATTATTATTATATAGAATAATATTTTATTTTACAAAAAAAACTTTATTTAAATACTGAGCTCATTCTCTAAAACCCAGAGAAGAGTTACTTTTACAATCAAAACTTAATAATCTTTTCAATAATTATTTTAAAATAAATGCGTCAGGCCGCGTCAGTAACATGCTGTCTGCTATTGTGATTTCTTTAGGGATAATTTAAGATTATATGATAGATTTAGATTTTATTGATAATACAATTCAAATACAATGTCATTCATTAAAAGGTCTGATAGTCCTATTTAAATCTCAAGTATTTCTATATTTGAATCTTGAAGTCTGATAGTAGTATATTAGTGCTGAATCACGCTCTTGTTCATCACATTGATAGAAACAAACGGAGAATACAATTTACCTCAAAAATAGGCAATTATTTACAGACACATTAAAAATAGTGTTTTTATGGAACCAGACTACTTGGACCAGCAACTTAAAGTATCTATAACTTTTTCCATTTTTATTAAGAACGAAATCAAAATAAAGTATTAAACATGTAGATTCAGAATATAAAACAACAAGCTATTTTGGTGTTTTATACTCTAAAATGCATTATAATATTATTTAGGTAGTTAATTATTTAATGGATACTAACTTAAATTATTAATTTTTCAAATTTGAAAAAATGTAAGACGAAATATTTGGGTCAATTGATAGATAAAAAGTTTGTAGTTGTTAATAGTTAAAACAAAGTTTTGACCAACTAAAGATACTTTATTTATTCTACTTTATCTGATTCTAATTTATTATTTACTTTTTAAGCCAATATTTTCTAATAGGTGGAGATATTTATAGATCTTGAATTATGGATTTTTTCACAATGCTCTGACAGGCCAATATTGAATTGATAAAGAAAGTAACCACCATAATTCTTTTAAATGTATCCACATAAATAATTTGTTCTAATGAGAGATCTATTGGCTGCCACAAAAAGCTTTTTGAAGTTTATTTTATTCTAATAGAATCCTTTATAAATTTAACTTTTAGTTTAGGATAAGATTCATCTATTTTTTTTTTATTATTATTAATTATAAAATAAACAATCTATACTGGTGAAGCACAATATGTAAATAAGATGACATATACTTGTGAGGCATGAATGATATGATGAGGGAGGCCATCCATTGATAGAACTCAACGCAATATTATTTTATTGCAGATTTATTTGAGTAAATCTCTACACCATTATTTGTGTTTCAAATTGGGTTCCCAGAGAGTTTTTTTGCACGAGAGTGATGAAATTTTTGAGTTTGGGTGTGTAGAATGAAATCTAGAGTAATGGTTAAAAGCTAATTGGCTAACTGTTTCGAAGTTCAGATTGTTATGCAGTGTTTCATTAGATACATACTAGGGAGCCATAATAGCTGGTCAAAGATCAAAAATAAATTTGTAGTTTTTGGCAATATTAATGAAAAATCTCCTACGCTTACACTATTCAATGTATCAGTTAATAATTATCTAGTTATATGAAATTAAATAATATTTAATAATATTAATCAGTTTAACCATGCAATTAAGTTTTAAAATATATAATCCTTTTGGAATTTTGAGTATAGTTACTCAAAAACTATTATGATCTGTCTATGTATTAATGAATGTTGGTGAATTGGATTCTCTGTTTGTTTTAATCACTAGCATAATGAACATTTTGCATTGTGTAATTTAAGAAAGAAAGAAAGGTGTGAATAAATACTACTTAAGAAAATAATATATTGAATTATATATTTGGTGTGAACTTAAAAGTGGAATATCTTGCCTACGAAAATCAAAAATTTTAAAACCAAAATGTACATAAATCAATGGTGGTCCTTTTATTTGTAATGTAGGTTCTTATTTCAGTTAATACTGGTACCTAGTGCGGCCACTGTTGTAGGTGGGTAATGGGGAAGGTGAGATGCATAGTTATTTAATCTAAAGAATGCTAATGAAGAAGCGATTCAGGGCGAAGTTCAGTTATACATGTTTTAAAATGCCATAATATTTATGATTCTCCTCAAAATTTGGTTTTAAAACTATTAAGAAAACATTATACCCACATATCTACTATCTCAGTCCAACTACCAGACAACATGCAAAAACCGTGCTTATGCAGAATAAGTATAACTAGCTTAATTTTGATTTTAAAGTAAAAGTATCTATTATAAAACTTGTTATAGACTAATATTTTGGTGGGTTATAAACTACAAAAACTTTTTTATAACTATTTTAATAGTTTCAATAATTCAAAAAACACTGATGAAAAACACTTATTTTCTTTTGATTACTTGATTATCAATTATGATTTATAATGAAACTCTTGTCAAATGTTCAAACATTTCTGTCAATTTTAAATTTTCAAAACAATTTTATCAAAAGATTGGAACCTACCAAATAAAATAAAATAAATAAAAACCATCAAAATTTGACTTGAATGTTATGAAAATTGTACCACTTCTAGAAAATCCAAATTCAAGTTTCCTGTCAAAATTTAAAAACTATGATTATCTTTGACTTTATTATATTAAAAATAATAAAACAAGAATTTTCCTGTTCTTTCTACATATTATTTGATTCCGCTCAATTATTAAAAAAAATCAAAATTATTTCTTTCTTTTCAACTAAATTAAAAATGTAACAATTGTCCTTTCAATTTTTTTTTTTTTTTTTTTGTAGAAAACAAGCTATGTTTTTGTAAATAATTAAAAACTAAAAAATCTAAATACTTTAACTAAATTAAACAAGATAAATGCAAAATATAAAATGTCATATTTGGAGTCACTTGTGCATAAACAAATTTAGCTTACTACTATTTTTTTATGTATGTACTATAATAATTAACACATGCTATAAAATCCAATACCTTTTAATTATATAATATTTAATAGTGTGATATAAGTATTGACACTGATATGTTTTAGTTTATTATGATATAGTATTTATTAGTTAATACGTTTTTTTTAATTTTCTGATTCTCTAGGGGAAAACCAGATCTGTTACCAAAAGCTTTCTGCATTAATGCCAAAATCTTATATTATTTCTCCCTAGAGTTTTTATATTATGATGTAGATACTAAATAACTACCATAATATTAAATTAAGTTAATTAATAGTTATTTAAGTTTTAATAGTTTGTTTTATGTATAGGATTAAGATGTCTGACAATGAATGGTATGAATATTCAGCTCAGAAAGAAGACCGCGGAGGAAGAGGCGGAAGAGGTGGTCGCGGTGGAGGCCGCGGGAGAGGATTCTATAATAATAGAAACTATGATGAAGGAGTTAATGGTAATGATAATTGTGGTTGGGGGAGACAAGAAGATGACCAAGAAAGATCATCTAGACCCCGTGGTGGTAGAGGTGGTGGTGGTAGTGGTAGAGGAAGAGGAGGTGGAAGAGTAAATGATAGAAATGGTGGTGATGGAGATGGTAGTGATTTTGCTGCTGGTGATGGATGTGATAATCAACAAGCTCTAGCATCTGATAAACCTAGACCAACATATATTCCTCCGGAGATAACTGATGAAGATTGTTATGGTGTAGAAGCTGGAACAAACTTTAATCATTATGAACAAATTGTTGTTAAAGTCAGTGGTGATAATGTTCCTAAACATATTGAATCCTTCAAGAATTCAGGTTTACGAGAAGTATTATTAGACAAATTGATTAAATGTAATTACACCACCCCTACTCCTATTCAAAAATACTCGATTCCTATTATAAACAGTGGACGAGATTTGATGGCTAGCGCTCAAACTGGATCTGGAAAAACAGTAAATAGTTTCATTTAGTTTAAATTTAAATTGGATTTTTAATTTTAAATACAATTTTAATGATAATAATGTGTAGTAAAATTAATAATTTGAATCTTTTTTTTTTTTTTAGGCAGCATTTGTTTTACCTATAGTTAATATCCTAATAAGTCAACCTACAAATTTAAATTATGATAGAGATTATTGTGAACCACATTGTGTTATTATGTCACCAACTCGAGAATTGGCTATACAAATTCGAGATGTAGTATTTAAGTTAACATCAGGAACTTGTATCAAGCAGTCTATTCTTTATGGAGGCACAGCTACAGGACACCAACGAAATCAACTCAATGTGACTTGGATTAATTTATTAATTTTTTCAACAAAATTTCAACATTCTTTGATGTCTGTTTTACAGAATGGTGTTCATATTATTGTGGCAACACCTGGAAGGTTAATTGATTTTGTTGGCCGAGGAATAGTATCCTTTAAATCCTTAAGGTTCTTTGTGTTGGATGAAGCTGATCGTATGTTAGATATGGGTTTTAAACCAGACATTGAACGTATTTTGAACCACGAAACTATGGTTACTGTTGTAAGTACTGATTTTAAATATATATATAAATATTAATACTTTATAATAGCATTCATTTATATTAATTTGATTTGTAGAATAATAGGCAAACACTTTTGTTTTCTGCTACGTTAGCTAATGATATTCAAATGTTGGCTAAATCTTATTTAAAACCAAATTATATATTTGTTGCTGTTGGTGAAATTGGAGGTGCTTGCAAAGATGTTGTTCAAGAAATCAAAGAGGTATCTAAGTTTGAGAAAAAAAAGGAATTAATAAAAGTTTTAGAATCTTTAGGTTGGTATTTAAATATATTTTATTCATTAAATTGTGTTATAGTAAATATTATATGTGGTTTTATGTTTATTAGGCGATTGTAAAGGTACTATGGTTTTTGTTGAACAAAAGAGAAATGCTGATTTTATTGCAGCATTTTTAAGTGAAAAAGACTTCCCTACTACTAGTATTCATGGTGATCGTGAACAACCAGAAAGAGAAAAAGCTTTACGAGATTTTAAGAGCAATAAAATGAAAATATTGGTTGCTACAGCAGTTGCTGCTAGAGGCTTGGGTTTGTAATATGATATTATAGATTTGAAATATCGTTGAGTTGTATTATTTTTTTAGACATAAAAGGTGTTAATTGTGTAATAAATTTTGACATGCCTGCATCTGTTGATGAGTATGTTCATCGTATTGGCCGAACAGGAAGATTGGGAAACTCTGGAAGAGCAGTTTCATTTTATGATAGTTCTACTGATAGTAGTTTGGCATCGGAATTAGTTAGAATCTTAAAACAGGTGTGTTGGTTTGTGGTTTTAATTTATTTATTTATTTTTATTTTTCTATAGTTTTTTTTTTTTAACTATTCTATATTGGTTTTTAGGCTGAACAAGAAGTCCCATCGTTTTTAAGTGAAGGAGGTGGAAGTTATGGAGGCAGTGATGCATTCAATGATATTAGACAATCTGTGGTAATTTATTGAATTTAAATTTATTCACTGTTGAAACATATCAATACCCTAAATTTGAACAAATTATCTGGATTGATTTTACCCTATTTTTTATTAATATTTTTGTTGAGGCCAATTCATATTTAAAATTTAATTTCTTTAAGGGAATTTTTGTTAGTGATGGGGTAGTAATAGGGCAATTTTTGATTTTTTTGTTAATCATAAATGATTATTTGAGTGAATGCGATGAAACTTAATTTAGGTATCCGCACTCCCAGGTAGTACGTTATAACATTTTTACAAATTTATTTATTTTTGTATTTATTACTAGCTGGTAAATTGTTTTATTTCCATAACACGCAAGACTATTTTTTTAATTGCTGAAAATCTTTGTCTCAAGAGTTTATAATGTATTCTATTTCTCTCAATTACTACTGCAGTAAACCTCATATGAATTTTGTGAATAATGAAATGGCACATTTATGTTTTGAATATGTTTACATATATATGTAAATATATTTTTGTGTTATATCAGACATGTGTTAGCAACACCTTTAGCATAATAACAGTTATTATATTTAAAAACAATAATTAATTATAGTTTTATTTTATTTATTTCAGCATACTGATGGTGGTGATGAAGATGATCAATGGTGAAGATCAATAATTCTTAAACTTGTACATATGATCACCAAATGTTAATTTAACTTTTTAATATTGATACATTTTATATTCTTGTATTGCGACTTAACATAAAATATTACAGTTTCTAATTATTTTTATTCATTATATTTGAGTTTATTTTATTACTGATAAAAGAATAATATTATTCATTTGTTTTATTTATTCTATTACTTAAATAATGTTTATATATATTTTTTTTTTTATTATTGATCATCCTTATACAGTAATTTAATAACATAATTTGGTAAAAAAAAAATTGAATACTAATGGTTAATTAGACCAATGCTTTGTTAGTACAGCTCAGTCTATGTAGTGTAGGATGACCATACATTTCGTTTTTGCAAGATTATCCTTTTTTTCAGTTTTGTGTCCTATTATGTCTATGCCAATTAGATATAAATTTATTTTATAGTTTTTCAATGTACAAATTAAAATTTTGCTTAATTTTGAATACAATAAATGTATTAACAAAAATATTTGGTATAGATTATGACAGTTATTGTAATTGTATTCATGAAAAATAACCACAATATCGATATTGATGATAATACATCTAAAATATACAAGTAGATTTAAAATAGTTAATAATATAAACATAATTATGAAAAATTAACGATTAAAATCTGTAAATAAATATTATTCAGTCCTGTGATTTATTATTTTAAATATGGTCTAGTGTAGGTTTCTAATAACATTGTATAATAAAAAAAATATATTATGTTACACTTATATCTTGGTAAGTTAATGAACAACTGTGTTTTTGGTAGGATTATAATAAATAGTAGACATTTTGTGAATATTAGATTTTGTTAAAATTTAAAAACCCAATTTTGATGTAAACGATTTTTACAGATACTTAAGTTGCAACTCGTTGAGAAAAAACTTGAATACAGTAGCCTGAAAACATTGTTCAATTAATTTTTCATTTATTGTTTTTTAAGTTGGACACTACATTTATGTTCATCTACTATCTCAGTCCAACTACCAGGTACCATTCATAAATTATTAACAGACAACCAACTTAATTTTGATTTTAGAGTAAAAGTATCTATTATGAAATTTATCCAGAACAGTATTCTGGAGGAAATATCTTAAGGTTTTTGTAGAATTCAAAATACACAAAAAACTTCTATTCTTTTTTTTTTAAAGAACTGAAACTTTTTTAATAGTTCATAATTCAAAAAACACTGATGACATTCCTTCCAAAATATTGTTCTCTGTACATTTCATAATAGGTACTTTTACTCTAAACTCAAAATTGAACTAGTTTTGCTTTTTCTGTCTAAGCAGTGTTTTTATATTTAACTGTTACCAAGTGCTTGAATTGAGGGAAGACAGAATACCTCGACTAATTTTTCAGAAATGTAAGTGGAACACATGAGACACAGTGGAGGATACAAAGTATGTCTGGAAAGAGTTGTATATAAGGGACTAAACCTATAAAAGTATTCAGTAAAATTTCTGACTTCTACAATTATTTTTTATTGAATAAAACAGGCAGTAAATGTAAGTTATAAGTTTTCTAGGGATTTCCTCATAATTAAGAATACTGTAAAGAAATCTAAAAAATAACCTTATTGCACCAACCAGACAACAAATTTAAACTAAGAACTAGCCTCTAAAGTTGATAATTTCTTACAGAAAAAGAACAAACACATCATCATAATAGAATTATAGTAGTAACTATCAAATTAGAATCTAAAAAAAATAATATCTACTATAGTCTATAGTAGGATATATGTAAGTAAAAGTTATCTTGCTGTATGTAGTGTTAGTTTTCGGAAATTATGAATTACTGAATTATGTTTGAAAATCTATGTGGAGGGCTAAGCCTCCCACAGATTGGGTTGAGTCTAATAATTGCAAGGAACACTCATTTTTTGTTTTTTAGTCCCTCATCATTTATTTTATCAATTTGAGCACTGAATTGTAACCTGATAGTTGGACTCGGACAGTAGATGCAGGTATATTGGCCTCTTAATTGAATGATGGTGTATTCTATTATTACTATTTTCTTCAACTTGTATTGATAATTGATATAAATATGTTAATAATAATATTTATGTTATAAATATGTAAAGGTCAGGTCTTGATGAAAATTACAATTATTATTTCCTACTTCTTGAGATGTTACAAATTACATATCTTTATTTTGGTGTACATTACAAGTGCAGTTAAAAAATGTTGGTACAAATTGCACGTTGTATATATTTTGGGTCGATTTTGATACAAATTGACTACACCCGTTCAATCACATCCTGGTTGTTTTGTTCAAGGACAGCATAGATAATCTATAGCAGGCAGACACTGTTTTGACTGTTTAGGCAATGCATCTATTATCAAGATACAATATTATTATGTAAGCCATGATTCAGAACCGGTATGTGTGTACAATCAAGTCTTGGGGTAGATATTTTCAGCCTTCAGATGAAAATATATGCACCATGCTTGCAGTTAAAGAATTAATTTATTGTTAATACATGTACATACATACAAATTATTGACTTTAAATTCATAAATAAAACCAATTCAAATTAACGAATGCTGAGTTTCTAAATAACAGTCACATTCTCAGGCATTGCCTTGATTCTAATTATTTCAGTGTTTATTTATGCTTTACATGAACGAAGGCAAGCTGTTACCCTGGGTAAGTATTAGATTTGATATACTCTATAAAGTTGGATTTTTCATGAATCACAGTAATGAAGTAAACAACCTTCATTACAAAAAAAAAAACAGGTTCCTATTTATAAAAGAACACATTTCCTATAAAAAAAAAAAATCAATTTTAAAAACAAATAAAATATAATTAGTACAAAATTAATAATATCTACTGGAAATGCAGAGGGACTAATGTTAATATTTTTCCCTGCCACTAGAATTATCATATTATTGATATCTAGATGCCAACCTGCTAACAAGATAACATTAACTTTTACATCAAAATATTAAAAGACCTTTATTTTTATACATAATTATCTCCGCTATTTGTTTTATTGTAAGATGAACAAAAGCAAGATATTTACAAAATCTTATTTTACTGGGCTATTCTTTCACCTAATACAAATCAAAAGAAAATATTTGCAGGATTAGAAAACTGTAGTTACAAAATAAGTATAGGTATTGTACTTCATAACTACCTCAGTCCCTTACAAAAGACTATATTATTGTATATATTTCTGCAATTTGTTCTTAATAGAATAAGTATTTAAAACTATAAATGGAATTATTATTTTTAGATTGAAACAGTGAGCATTATTAAAAAATGTACTTAACCAATCATATTGAATGGAAAGAATCCTATTATTTTAATACTTAATTTAATTGAACATTTTAGAATAATTAATTTAAATAATTTAAGAAAATTAGGTTAATTAGTATTAGTTATATGAACTACTAAATTAAACTTCAATATCCTGGAATTAAGATATATGACAAAAATATAAAATATAAATTTATGAGTATAGGTTATAATTAAAGTGAAACAATTTTGAATTCTTATTCTTATCAAATTTAAAAATAAGATAATAGATAATATATTTTATACTTAACTAAATACTTGGCAAAATTTGTACTTCAATCTATACTTGATGGTTAATTTTTACCTTTCTGAGAGTTGTATTATTTTGATAAATGGCAAACAAAACTTACACAAAAAATAAACAACTATAAGCCAACAATTTGATCAATAGAAAGAGGGTTAGAATATATAATACAATAAATTATATTGTATAAAAGTATTTATATTTTTTTTTTTTAATTAATTAATTTAAGTAATGTTTTGGCTTTGATGTGCAGCTGAGAAGGCTTACATTTTCAATTAAATTTGTTTATATAGGTATTTTCTGGTCTAGTGTGAAGAAGTTTAGGTTAAATTTGTATAATACTATCCTTCTTACACCAATATCAGGTTGAAATTACTATAGTTATGAAAGAACCAAATTTTAATTTAAATAAATACTTAAAAGTGGTTTAAATAACAGAAAGTATGAATAAATTAGATTTTGATGAATAAGTTGATGCTAATTTTATTTTAAACAATATTTAAGAATAGTTAATTATTTATAAATATTTGACAAATAAATATATGTTATTGTAAAATTAAGTTTAATTTAATATTTTTCAATTTTCTGAGGTTGATTCATTAATTTCTAAGGAAAACAATTTTTTTCAAAAACACATAATCAAATACTAATTTTAGATTCTGAGTGGAGCAAAGAAAGATGATTTTAGAATAATGTTTATTTTTTATTTTTTGCATCTGTGCACAACTTGTCCACCAAAAATATTTTTTTGAATTACAAATGTAGCACTATTTCTGAAAGGAAATTTGATTGGGTACTTCAGAGAAGTCATATTTTTATTTTTCCCAATAAATGGGAAAACTGGGAAAAACCACTGAGAAAAAATTTACAACATTAAACAAATGTTACTAAAGAAAATGTTAATACATATGTAATTAATAATTATACATGTTGATTTGTTAACAATATTACCTGAACTCCATTCAGAATCATTTTTTTAAAGATATGTTGCTTGGCTCCTGAGCCTATTATTGTTATCAGTCGTTTTATATTATTAAAATAACTTTTAAAAGATTAAAAACATTTTAAATGAACTGCTTTTCAATAAACAAAACTATTAAGCTCATGGAAAATAAAAACTTATAAAACAATTTTGCATTTTTAGTTGATACTATTTTAAAATTAGAAAATTTTAAAATACCATTAACTGAGAGTCAAAAAATAGTTAATCATTTTTAAAGAAATTGGAATGTATTCCCAAGGATACTGGAGTTTTAACTAATTTAAAATTACAAAACATATTGAAAAATAAACTAAAATTAAATTGTGATGGATGATAAGAGATGTACAATTAAATAAAACCCGAACATCGAATTGCCATTTTAAATTTTAAATTTTATAATTATATGTTGTTTTTAACTTTTTCCTTTCAAAGATATATAGAAGATAATTAATCAGATTAATGAATAAAAATATTTTCTTGTATTATTTGTATTTTCTATGATACTTAAGTATATAGGTTAAATGTCTCGATCAAATTTTTAGTTTAATATGTTAATTGCCAAAATGTAAAATATTTTGTATACTACATACTTGCTGTTCACATGTAGATCATTTTTTTTTTATATTTTTGCTAAAAGTAAAATGAAAAAGTTAGGTTGCAGTTTTGTAAATGTATTTTCTTTTAATATAAAAACAATTCATCCTAAAAGTTTGGTAAAAATATAGAAATTGTTTGTGGTTACCACAAGATTCATACTCCTATACGAAATCAACATTCCTGTGTTAAGTCAACACAATGATAGTGAATCCATGAAGGACAGTGTTCAAAATATTAAACACAAAAACAGTTATAGTAATTTGTGGTGTGTACTCTAAATTGTACATATGATAAGGGTTAATGTGGGAAAAGTGTGTGAGAGTTAACATGGTTTAAATTTTTCAAAATTATAAGTTAATATAAAATATTAAAAATTATATATTTAAATATTATTACATTTATACTTAATTAAAGTTCTCTAATATAGACATACCTAGTCTTCAAATTGTCATAACTACAAAAATAATAGTTTTTCGAAAGTTCCAAAGTTGTTTTGTCAGAAAATAAAAAATTACAAAAAAAATGCATGTCATTTGAACACAATAGATGACCCAATAAATTAAATTTATTCCATTCAATCTAATGAAGTTACATAATAGGAAACTTTGAAATCCTACAGCAAATAATTGGCCAATTGCTTATTCTGTAAGGTAATACTTGAAACGTGGGCCGGCGATGTCACAGTGAACCATCTAGTCTTTTACTAGTCAGGCAGGTTTCTAGCAACCTTAAACAAATTAAACAAAAAACTTCACAAATTAACTAGGGTCAACTGAAGCCAAACTTGCAAGTTCTATAAACTATTAGTAAATACATAAATTATATTCTTTTTTCTTTGTGCTTTCTGTATTATCACCTAAATTTAATAATTAATTCTAATTTTTAAATTTCAACATCAATATACTACCCACTTTACATAAATACTGCTATTTTCATTTACCCTGTCAAAATAATTATAGTACCAATCATTGGAGCAAATGAAAATATAATTGTTTTTGCTTGGTGTAAATGAAAATAAATTGTGATGACTAAAAATAATAATGGTGTTTTCATAATATGTATCAATTTTTCGAATATAACTTTGAAATATCAGTACGATTATCAAAACATGTAGGTACTGGAGCAGTGGTATATAATAGAATATAATGGTTTAAAGGTATTATTTTCATGATTATATTTTAAATTAACATAGGCAGTTTCTAATTACCCTATTTGACTCTATACCTACTATTTACCCAATATAGATACATAATATTATGTTATTTCACTTAACATAAGTTGAATAGTCTTGCATTATTTAACTGAAAATATCAATAATTGTAATTTTAATATTTTGCTGCGTATGTTTTCTTAGTTATATTGTTCGGAATTAAACTGATTATTAATTATATCTTTTGATTTCGAATCAGATAGCGTCCAATATACAGTCTACATTTTTCTAAGCTACAAATGCGCACTTTTTCCATAAGGAACTCTGCGGGGAAATGGGTAAATCAAAAAATTCAACACGTACAGAGCATTAGTCGTACAAGGAGCACAAAAAATAAATGTATTTATCATTTTTCATGTAATCACGTTACCTTTACAATTTATAATATTCGATGTTGATGAAATGATACTATTGGCGATAAAAAAGAAATCTCGAATTTTTGTGTGGGAAATGGGATAGGAAATGTAAATTCTGCCTGAGAAGCAGAACACTGATAAGATAATGAAGAGAAAGAAGAAAAAATAAAGAGGGTGATTTTTTTTTTTTTATCCCAAAGCCATACTTCAACCCAGTTAAGTATTTAGTGTGCTACATGGGTATAAGACACTGTTTTGTTAATTGTAATATATTAGTGATATTTAAATAGTATTATGATATCAACAGGAATTATAGAAAAATTAAGTTTTGTTAACTAATACTTACAAGAGTTGCGTTTTAGTGTTTATATTTAATGCATTATTAGTTGCGTCTTGTACACATCGAAAGAAAATATTATCTGCACGATTAAAATACTGAGGTAGTTACAAAGCATTAGTATTGCATTTAATAACTACCCCAGTCCAATACGAACGAATATATTATTAAGATGTGGCAATTTGTTCCAAATAAAAAAAAATACACCGCAGACAGTACAGAGAACGGTGATGGCGCACCAAAAATCAATACAATGAACGCTGCAACGTAAAAACAAAAACAGCTGCCTAACGAGAGGATTCCGGAAGCAACGCGAGCTCATTTTCAGAGCCAGTTATCACGGCAAGCCATTGATATAGTTTTCTTATCATCGTAAGTTTGTTATCAATTATCATCACGGTATAAGTCTACTTTACCAAACTCCTCAATTAAAGACCGGACACCCTTTATTTTGTAATTTTAGATTTTGAGTGAAACGAAGAAGCTTACAATTTTATTAAGATGTCTATTTATTAATTTTTTTTTTAATTTGTAAACAACTTTTCTACCAGAAGACTTCTTTGGATTTTTAAGTGTAGCATCTTTTCTGAAAGGAAATCGGTGTGGGAAGGTACTTTAGGGACGTCATTTTTCGATATTTTCAATAGTTTTTTCATAAAGTAGGAAAACCGACAAAATGTACAAAATATATCACTAAAATATTACCATTTTTTTTTTCCTGTGCACAACTTTTCTACCAGCAATTTTGACCCAACTTATAATGATAACAATTTTTCTTAAAGAAAATTTTACTGCGGAGGGGGGTTCTTAAGAAAGATCGTTTTTCGATTTTCCCCAGAGTTTTCCCAGTAAATGTGAAAAATCGCTCCCGCGATCCTTTCATAGTGCCTACGTGTACTACCTAGCAGCTGGCTGCTGCCGAGTGCTGACGAGCGAGGGCGCAGAACAATAGCCAATATCGAGGGTGAGGGTGACGCAATATACTTGTCTGTGGGGTGACGGTGACAGCCTAACGCACGAATTTAAGCCGACATAAATGAAAAATATGCTAACAATAGTGGATATATTGGATATGTGTGGATATATGGATAATAATAATAATTATTATTACATTATTATGTCTATGGGTACCTATACGAGCAATGTTCCACTGGTAATATTAGATAATTCGTGCACCGAACTGTGGCGTTTATACTATACGTTTACTCAATGGTACACAATACTCATACCATCTGTTCTGTGTTTATACCTCGTTTTACAGTATAGATTTATACAACGTTTGTAGATAATGCCGTGTTCACGATTCGTGGCTGTGGTATATTATGCACTCTCGATTATCCCGTAATATTTTAGATTCTGAGCGTATAAGTGAGGAATGTAATGGTTTTACAGTTATATGTGATCTTTTTTAATTGCTTTTTACCTGTGATCAAATAGTCTACTACATCTTGCTCCAATTTTCAAATAGTAGTACGTTTTCTGAAAGGAAATTTTATCTACTAGGTATTTTAGGAAGGTCATTTTTTGATTTTTTAAGAGGTTTTCAAAAATAATATTAGTGAAAAGTAGGGAAAATGTACGAAATTTATTAATTTCAATTTCATTTCTTTGTTTTGATTCAGTTAAAAATATTCGCAGACTTAAATTCAGAAAAACACATATTTACTTTTATAGTGGTGAAATTTTCAAAATATTTGAGCGATTTTTAAGCTATTGACAGATATTTTAATTTTGTGAAATTTTTACGTCATTTTTATTAGGTAGGTACTCTATGGATAAAATTGTTGGACTAAACAGAAATGTTTGAAAATTTAACTATTTATGATTTTTCAGCCAACATAAAAAAAAAAAGAAAAAGAAAGACATTAACAGAAACTGACTAAATTAATTTAACAATAGCTAAGACACTAGGAAGTGAAATAAAAGATGTTTGCAATTAAATTTAAGGTTAATTAATTTAATTAAGGTTAATTAAATGTATATTATATGTATGATGACTAAATTTGTATCATTTATACATTAATACCCATCATTTTAAACTTTTTTTGTTAAAACATAATATTTATTACCTTAAAGTTCCAATATTTAGATACCTATTTACCAATTTTATATTGTTCTGCATTGTTATATACCTTATATCTATTTTGTGGAAGGTTTAACTTATGATGAACAGACAAAAGAAACTGAAAATGCTTTTCTGGCAGTAGCATATTTTCTATTTCTAAACTATTCCCTCTGTTACTTTTTTTTAAATTTAACTTTATTGTATAATTATATGTGCAGTAAAAGTATGCATATTAAAATCTCTGTCTGGCATTTGATGTTTATAATCAATGCTATGGCCCTAAGGACATCCATCTTCCAAAATCCAGGGGGGAGAAACACTGTATTTCACATTAATTACATTTTGTAATTTATGATAATTTAATAATTAAGTTATTAAAAGAAAATTATATATTGTATAAACTGATGTGAAAGATCATTTTCCTTATCCAAAATAAATACAACTATATTAACATCAGAAAAAAATGATAATCTAGCTTTATTTCAATATAATCAAGAAAAGTGTTAATACAATTGATAATATAAATAAACAAGTTTTTTTTTTTTTTTTTTTTAATTAATTTTATGAAATTGGTTTTTAATTTTTGTTTTTAATATTATATAACTCCTGGAAGTAGTAGTAACTATGATTAACAGTGGAGAATAAAATGGTAGATTACTAACATCTGGAACTGCATACTTTTAATTGGTGACAATGCTTCAGAAAATGACACTGATAGAGAAGCGAAGATAAATTGTTTGAACCTGTTATTGTGCTTGATGGAGCTGATGTAGATTATTTTAAACAAGAAGCTTTAACTCTGAAGATGAAACTGATCTGAATTTTAAAAATTAACTTGCTTATATATGAGGTATGGATAATGATGACAATAAGATTGGAAAGGACAGTTGTTATGGCTCTATTGGAGAAATATAAGCTCTATGTGACTAAAGCTGGCAATTCAATGTGTCTAGTTTCTGTTAAAAGTAAAAAGATGTTAAAATTTTGTTAAAAAGTTTCTGTTAAAAGATCATGTCTGAAGATGACATCAAGCTCAAAAGAATTCTTGCAGCTAGCAGTTGAGTTTCAAAGATGGTCTTTATCTAATACCAGATATATGAGACAACATTTGACAGGATAGCCATAGACACCACAACCACAAACATCATAAATGATATTGTAAGGGTTAATTGCTCGAGCAGTAGATAGGATAAATTTGAGTAATTGAATAAAGTGTAAATAAAAAAAAAAATGTATACATAATGTAAGAATATGTGAAGTCCTTCAAAACTGTTAACAAGCTGGGTGGTGGTGGATGCCACAATTGCAAAAATCAACACATTTCTTTCAATAAGCATTTTTGGGCTGCATAATGAATTTTTTCATCTAATTTAACTGTGAAAAAAATATATAATTTTCTGTTAGTATAACCAAATAATATTTCAGTTTAATTTTAAAAATATAGTTACATATTTTATGTTGTCCTTTAATTGGAAAATGATTAGTCATCATTATTGGATTTTTACATATAAATATAAATGGACTTTCGACCTCTCCTTGAGGGTACTGAGTAATGTACTCCTCTTGTGACAAACAGTCCACTACATTTACACAGCCCATTAAACATCCAATTGGATATCGGTTTGGAAATTCAAGGTCTATAAACAAAAATATATCAAATATATTTATAACATATGGACATTTTTTTATCATAGTCTTAGATTATTAGAGAAAATCAATATTCAGTTTACTTTCTCCTTTTAAATGTTTATAAAATGTCTCCATACGCTTAATATCTTCTTCATTAGGCTTTTGTGCTGTGGATGCAATCCAGAGTCTTCCTCGATGAGGTGTAAACCATGTACGACCTTCATGACTAAAATTATAACAAAAATTAAATATATTGGATATTATAAACACCAGACACTTATTTTATATAACTCATTAACCAAAATATATATGCATAGTATGTACATAAATATAAGTATAAAATATTTAACTATATATAATATTAGATGTTAAATATTCTTAAATAATTAAAATGGTAAGATTATTTTTTCTTTGTATTAATAATAAAATTAGAATTATAGATTTAAAATGACAACTTCTGTAAAAGTTTACTCACTATAAATTCAATCACTTAATGCAAACTAAAAAGATATTTTTGGGAAAATAAACATTTAAATGATAGGATACTGTTCATGGACAGACTACTGCTGTATATGAAAGGATAATATAAGAAAATATATTATATTGGTCATTGAATTTATATATATTATACAACAGCTACTATAAATCAACGTCTAAGAAAACAGATTCTAGACAGAATTTGTTTAAATATTTTTTGATAAATTTAAATTTAAATTTTTTGTCCATATAAAATTAGAGATAATTAAAATTTGGTAAACATTTTTGATTTTTTTTTTTTTTGTTAAATTCAAATGAGAAGTGACAATAAATGTAAATACAAGAAAACTGTATAATTTACAATGACAAATGATGGATAATTAACAAAAAAAAAAAATAAAACCAATGACTGCAACAAAATATTAGCCAATGAATACAAATTCTAGCAAGGCAGAATTGGATATGTTCAATATAGATAAGTGTTAAGTGAATTAGTTCTTCCATAATAATAATTAACAATATTATATATTTTTGGAAACATAGCCACATTGATATTTTTTTTTTTATTATTGTCTCAACAAACTTTAATTATTATTGATAACCTTGGTAGATTGCAGTGAATGAAAGTAAGCAAGCATGGATAGTACAAAAATCACTAACAGTTTAAAAACTATTTAAAAATATGCACAGTTAAAGAAGATCTAAGAAATAATAGTATTTATTGAGCGTTATATATTTCAAAATAATTATGTTTGAGACACAGTACCACTTATCTCACCTTGTATTAAATTGTTGAGCATTTTCAGTTGGTCAAACCATTTAATCCCATAAATCGAAAAATATTACATACCCAATATGTTATGATTATTACCGATCAAAATCTAAACTTCAAACCTATATAGGTTATCTTATCTTATATCCTATTAAAAAGGATGTTAAGTTAAATGGGTATAACCCTGTTTCATGGACATAGCATATAAAAATAAAAAAAATCTTAACTACAGGTTTGTTATACTTTTATAATGTTATTATAACTATAAGAAAAAAGAACCTTCTGTCAAATTTGTATAAATTTTTAGAAAACTAAAAATATCAAATCCACAGAATAACAAAAATTAATAAAAAAAAAAAACATGAAAATTTTAAATAACTATAAATAATAAAATAATAAAGTAAAACAAAATTATAAAACGATTAATACTCATATAAATAAATATATTAAAAACTAAATTAATGATACATATAGTTATATATTTAACTATAAATAGGCAACTCAAGTATCAATTAGACAAAATGTGCTACTAGAAAGGGAAGCAGGTTATTCATAGATAGAAAAATAATCCATATTATAGTAAAACCAATACAAGCTAGGCTTAAGATCTAATATACCAGTAATATGTTTATGTATGAGTATTGTATCTAGGAAAACAAATACAAAAAATTACTCCTTTTATAAAATTACCTTTTGATGTTCAGCAGTAAAAGAGATGCATAAGGCTGATGCATGCTTAAGCATAGACCCAGATCTGTCATTAACATAAGCTCCAGATCTTGTACTCTATTAAAACCTAGATTGAATTGTGCATGTTGGTTGATAAGGTCAACATTATGCCTTTCAATTTTTTGTAGAGCGTTTTCATCAAACTTCAATCATTAGTCAAAATAAAAAACCAACGCAATTTGTAATTTATTAAACTTAATATAAAAGAAATAACAGAATATATTACCTTTATATTTATTCCAATCAAAGGATTATTTAAATGCTCATTGTTTATAGTAGGTAGGGTTTCTTCATTATCAGGTATTAGATCAATATCATTGTCAGATTCCTCGGCTTCATAAGCTTGTCTTCCTATATGGGTGTAAAATAAATGTAATTATTGTTCAAATTTGATTATTCAACTTATGGGCCTAGTTTTTTTAATTTATAGCCCAGTTACAAGGATAACTATTTTTTGATGTCTAAAGTAATTTTTATAATAACTGGGAAAAACCAAAAAAGATGAAAAATACTATTTTTTAAAATTCCGACAACAATGTAATTTTTGTAAATTTGTACAGCTAGTTTCTATCATAAATATTGTTGCAAGGCAGGATAATACATCAACCCACTGTTTTATCTTTTATTGATTTATCTTAATTGCTTTACTTAGAGTATTGCATATTTCTTTGATAATGGTTAAGAAAAAGAAAATATCCAATAGCTACTACTAAATTCTCTATAAACAAAATATAATCACTGCGCTAGAATAACCTCATCCCAAAATATCTGATTCCGTCAACTAACATTTAATAATAATTATTACTGTACCAGCAAAATCAATAGTGATTTTTTTAGTTTTTTTCGATCCATGTTTCTTTTCATGTAATTCTTCTCCTTTTGCTTTTAACTGTTCTCTTTGCTTTGATGACAACCAACCATTATTAGCTGAATAATAATCCATCTGATCATCAATTACAGTAGTACGCTTGGCACTATAAGATAAAATATTTTAACATTAATAGGACGTTATACCCACATCTACTGTCTCAGTCCAACTACCAGGTAACATACAAAAACAATGCTAACAGAATAAGTAAAACTAGCTTAATTTTGATGTTAGAATAAAATTACCTATTATGAAATTTACAGAGAACAATATTTTGCAGGGAATGTCATAGGTGTTTTTAGAATTATGAACTATTAAAAAAGTTAATTATTTAAAAAACAAAACAAAAACCCTATAACATTACGTCCAAAATATTGTTCTCTATAAATTTTTTAATATGTACTTTTAATTTAAAATAAAAATTCAGCTAGTTTTACTAATTCTTGGTAAACATTATTTTTGCACGTTACCCAGTAGTTGGATTGAGACAGTAGACGGTGGTATAATATCTTTTTAATTTACAGATCTCCTTTACAAAAAAAATAATAATTTTAATGGAAAAAAATGATCTCACTGTAATAATTATTAAACAAAAATATGAAGCAACTGAAAAATGTTCTAACCTGGTACGATCAAATTCTAATAGTGTATTACGATGTTCAAGAGCTTTATCATTGGTGGTATCATTAATTGTTAATCGAGATAATTTTTTATGCAATTTTCTGGATTCGCTATTTTTGTAACTTAATATAAATAACTCATCATTTGAGCATACCTAGGAAAAAATATTTAAAAATAGAAATATTAATTATAAATTCAATTTTGCTCTCAGTATTAGTTTTTATACCAATTCACCACACACAACACATGCGCCAGACCCTTCTTGTTTGCACACTATTCTACCACATTTCAAACAGTTGTTTATTAAACCATGTTTAGATGCTTCACAATTACATTTATGGCGACCTTTATTAGAAATGCTCAATTTAATAAACACATAATGTCATAATATATACTTCTGACAAACTTTGTATAAGTACCTTTTAAAAATACTTCTTGACAATTTTGACCTTCATCTGAAAATATGTTGACATATTTTTTTTGTTTTGATTTGACTTTCTATAAGTTGGTATGTATAATATTAAATTATTATTATTACTATGTTTATAATAAATTCTAAGATCAAGGAACAAAGAATTATATTTTATTTTACCTTTTCTATTTTATCTGTATCAGTTGCTTCTATAGTAGTTATTACTTCTTTATTTTGTTTTTTATCTATTTCTTTTGTATCTGTAGTAGTTGCAATCTTTTTCTTTTGGGTTTTTGTTTTTTTTTTGTTATTTTTATCTGTATTTGAACCATTAGCTGATGCTGGTTTTTGGTTAACTAAATTATAGACATACAATTAAATGTAACTAAAAACTAAGATTGTTGCATAGGAATAAACTTACGAGATTTATATAATTTTTTTAATTCTGATAAAAATTTTCTGTGAACCGGAGATTTAATATCTAATAAAGAATTACAGTACTCATCCAGTTGCCGTTCAGACTGCATGGATAATATGTATCTACAACATAAATTAATATTGTAATCACAACACATCATTTTTGTTGAAAACATATATGTACTCAGCCATGTTCTTTTGTACTTCAAATTGTAATATTATAGTAAGTTTATCACAAATCCACTGAATAACTTCTTGTTTATTCATTATTGAAAATTATATCAATAAAAGTAGCAAATAAAAACTTCAACTGAATAAAAGAACCAAAATAGAAATATTAATAACCAATATAATGTAAATAAAAAGGTATATGAATTAACATTAAATTTTCAACCAGCTAAATTAACCTTACAACTAAATTATTAAATTGATAATAATTTGTTAACAGATTAATTATCAGTGCGAATATTATTTAAACCTTAGATCATATTATACAATGAATTTTGTTTTTATCTATAATGTATTATAGGTAACAAGGTGGATTAATCCGGGAGGGCGTAGTAAATTAAAAAACAGAAAATAAATCAACCAAACAGTATTTAAGGAGAAATATTTGTCAATAGTATGTTATCAGAAAATATTACAAACGACTTTAATAAAGAGATAAGGTCATATCTTCCAAAAAACGATAACGCGTGATAAGAAATAAATAGAGAAAGAAGAGAAAATCCATACATATTATTTTAAAATAAAAAACAAGTTAAGCAGATGCCCCAAGTAACCCACTTCTATGTTATTAGAATTTATTAATAATTGAAATTATTTGGAAAATATATTGGTTTTGTTTTGACAATAAATCCAACATGTGTAAGGGGGTATTTACACTTGAATAGGGTAATTTAAATGCTTGTAAATGATTGAATTTAAAACTTAATTAAATAATATATACTTTTATCATAGAAAATATAAAAAATGTTGTCGTTTTAATATTTTGTTTGTTCAAAATATTGTGTAGGAATTTTAACTCAAAATGTTCACGTTCTTTCATATTTTTAAATTTTTTTTCAAAACGTCAATGTTTAAACTTCAAAGTTTTCTGACTAAAAACGATGATAAGAAATGTACAAGTTGATAATTAGTAGAATACTAGAGTTTCGGCATTTCGGCTGAAATACGTTCGGTTGTTTTATTTTCGACCGAAATATTGTTGGTACAAATATTTTTCTGCTTAAATATTTTCTGATAATTTCATGTTCGGTTTAAATACGGTTGGTTGAAATATTTTCAACCATAATATAAGGTTCGGCTGTTTTATAGACTCCCGATTAATCCACCTTGAAGGTAGGTACCTTATAGTACCTGTAGTTTATAGAGATTTCAGTTGATTGTTTAATAGCAATTCAATAAATTTAAGTTTAAATTCATTAAAATGTTTATTATAAATTATAATTAATAACTAATAAATATTTAAAATAAATAGTCAATGTTTTTAAAATTGTTAAAATAATAATAATAATTGTATAAAATATATATAAATTGAATATATTATAAGCTATTGATTTTTGAATATTAGTTTCGTATAATTTCTCCTGTTTTTCCCTGTAATTTGTTGAGTGTATAATTAGTGGTTCATTCTTAATTCTATTAAATATTTGAGGGTAAGTATAATTAATTAATAATTGTATTCTCTGGTTGTCAAAATTGTCTTGAATAATTGACGAGTCTGTACTTAGTTTATTTAATAATTTGATTCATAATCTTTGGTTAGATGGACCACTGTTGTTGATGAGAAGTTGGGAATTTACGATATAGAGGGAAAGTTAATGTATATTCGTATGCAAAAATTAATTATTGCTAACGAAAAACGATTCTAAGTAAGTTCGGTTAATAGTATTTTGCTTTTTATAGGTATATATATATTTATAGGTAGGTATAGGTTGTATAGGTAATGCTTTTTCAAAAATGTAATATACATATTGTTATATTACAGTAAAATAAATATTATGTTGAAAAAATTTGTATGGACCAGTAATTAAATTTGTTTCACATAATTTTTTACCAAAACAATTTTCATTAAAATTTGATATTAAAATTCTTTTAAAAAAAAAAAAATACTACATTAAACTCGATTTTTGTTTTAACGACAAAGGCATAAAGTACGAACATATTTTGTTAGAATGATATTTTATTAGAAAAATGAAATTGTCGAAAAATAAATAATCTGAAAAATATTTACATCGAACCGTATTTTAGAAGGAAAATATTTTATCCGAACAATATTTATACAGAAAAATATTTCGGTCAAAAATATATTATCAAATTATGTTAGAAAATATTTGGATAGAAAAATATTTTGTTAGAACCGTATTTCGGTAGGAAATACCTATAAAAGTAATAACACTGTTATCTTATATCATCGGTTAACCGTTGAACATGTGTTTCTCTACTACAGAATACGGTTATATAATATTTACTTAGATATATCAGGTCCATATCTCTCATTACTCAATGCTCAATATAAATTAGTCAATGGCACCAATCTGTCTTTATTTGTATTATCTACAACCACGATATTATCTTCCTACAACTTCACTGTGGCCATAGATATAAATATATCTATAGCCATACTGTGGCTTGCCTTTTTCGTTCTAATAAATTATTTTTCGACAAATTTATTTTCGTATGTAATATTTTTGGACAAAAAACTTTTCTAATAAAATAGTTTTCTGATTGAATAATTTTCGTAAATATATTTTCTACCGAATTATTTTCGAACAAAATAGAGGTCACCCCACAAAGTAGTACGTCTAATAAACCTCATGTTCAATTTTCAAGCATTTCTGTTAACAACAATTTTGTCCACAGAGTACCTACCAAATAAAAATTATTCAAAATTAAAATGTCTATAAATAGCTTAAATATCGCTCAAATATTTTTACAATTTTATCACGTAAAAAAAAGCAAACATAAGTTTTCTGCCCGAATTTCAAGTTCTACGAATATTTTAAATTGAATTACAAATAACACAATTTAAAATAATAAAAAGCATTATTTTAGTTTTTCATACGTTTTCTCCCAGGTTTTCCCAGATATTATGAAAACTGCTTGGAAAACCAAAAAAATGACCTCATAAAGTACCATCTAGATAATATTTTCTTTCAAAATTGGTGCTACACGTACATATCAGGGACAGATGTTGGAGAGAAATTTTTATCAGCATAAAAAAAAAAAATAAACATTTTTGTAAAACCAATACATTCTTTGCTACTTAGAATCTAAAAAATTATGTCAAATATGAAATAATATATTGATTATATGTATTATATCTATTTCTGGACCATGGATTATGCCAAATGTCAATGTAAGTCCACTTCTTTCATGTAGGGGCGATCGCGTACTCTCATATACGCGCCTGACTAGAATTCTAATAAGTTATTACCTATATATATATATAGGTGGAGAGTGACGTAAAAATTTATGTTTATATATATATATATATATATATACATCGCAAGGATGAGGAATTATATTTTAATCAAATTTGTATTTTGAATGTTTTGGTAAAAAAAATAACTATACTTATTTTGTTTATAAACAATTTACATAGGTAATATTTTTTGATGACACGATTCAGTTATTATTATTTGCTAATGACGCCAAAATATTTCCAATAATTAAATCTCCTTCTGATGCAATAAAACTGCAGTCAAATTTAGACAAATTAATCAGTTGGAATCATAATAATTACTTGCCTTTAAGACTATAAATGTATTTAAATAAATGCAATATTATATCTGATACTTACTCAAAAAATCTTATAACTTACTACTATAAAAATATTAATTTAAAATTATCAAGAGTTACTTTTATTAAAGACTTAGTTATTTTGTTTCATTAAAATATGTCTTTTTCCTTACACATTAATTCCATTGTTAATAAAGCCTTCAAAATTTTAGAATTTGTAAACAGAAATAAAAATTAATTTATAAAATATTAAAGTATATTATACTTTTCTCAGATTAGATCCAACCTTGACTTTAGGTCAGTAGTCTGATCATCAGGTTATAACACTCATATTGAAAATATTTAAAACGTTCAATATACATTTTTTTAAATGTTTTGCTTTAAATTAAATTTACGATCCCTAGAGATTCTCACAACTTACAACTATAATTGGGATATCGTTGTGTGAATTAAAGAGGAAAGTTGGTGATCTCATTTTTATATATAATTTATTAAACGTTAATATTGATTCCACTGATTTACTCTAAATGATAGGGTTTAATGTTGGTTATCACAGCTTAAGAAAGAAAAATTTATTTCATGTTCCGGATTATTGTTATAATATTATAATTTCGACTCTTTTTTTTTTTCACTAGTTTTCTTATTAGCAAATAATTTATCTAGTCATATTGACTTTTTTCTAATGTCACATAATTAAATTTTTAGATTTAGGCAATATTCATGTAGAAAAACCAAATAAAAACGAGAAAATATGAGAAATGAAGGTATTAATTAAAATATATTAAGGCCTTATGTTTTTTATATGTATAACTCTTCTACCAGCAACTTTGCTCAAAACTTTTAATGATAGCAATGTTTCTAAAAAGACATTTTACTAGGGAAGTACTTTAAAAAGATCATTTTTTGATTTGATAATATTTTTCAGTAAATGTGAAAAATCGGGATAAAACATGGGAAAACCGGGAAAAACGTAGGAAAACTTGAAAAATCAATACAAAATTAAACAAATATTATTTAAGAAAATATATAGAGCCTATTTAATTATTTTACTATAAAATGACATATTATATATTGTTGATAAAACATAACTATCAACTGAACTAAGCTCAGAATTGTTTTATCGTAAGCTATGGTTTATATCGTGGACTACAGATAAACAATAAATTTCCTATAACAGTTGCTGTAGGGGACGGACGACAATGAGTATATCCGAGCCGGTCACACAATGCGAGCGAGGGTGCGGTTGCCATGGAGACAGCTGGTTCGTATCTATTGATTTACTTCTCCCCTCGAGTATGACGTACGTNTCAATATATAACACAAGCTAAAATATTCTAAAATATGTATGAAGAAACATGTATTTAATAATTTACATATGGTATGAAACTTAAACATTTCTTACTTAAATAAAACGGTAGGTAAATATATTCGGAAAAAAAATATTTTTGTATATAAAAATGGGATATTAATTGGGTATTAAAAAAAAAATATTTTATTATCTCTAATAGGCTTAAACAATTTAAACTAGTGATTGCCGAATAATCTGTGGCGTACCTAAATAGAGATGGAGACCTGTGCAGAGAAAAACTTGAAAATATATTATATTGTTTTTTAAAGAGTAAATACATTTCTTAGAACCATAAATGACTATAATAAACAGATAAATATAAAATTTAAATACATAAAATAAAGAGAAATCCAGTTTATTTTACTGTACAAGTGATAATTATTATCAGCATTGTTAGGATTGGTATGATAATCAAACAAGGAAGATACGTACAAAAATAAAGTTAAAAAGATATTTATTTATTGAAATAAATCGGTTATAGACTGATTGTCATAATATATTATAATATAATTGAGATAAATGACAAAAAAACCTTNAAATCCAGTTTATTATACTGTACAAGTTATAATTATTATCAGCATCAATAGGATTGGTATGATAATCAAACAAGGAAGATACGTACAATAATAAAGTTAAAAAGATATTTATTTATTGAAATAACTCGGTTATAGACTGATTGTCATAATATATTATAATATAATTGAGATTAAAATTTAAAAATGATTTACTTATTTTTCGCATTTATGGGTAGGTATTTATTATTTTATTCATAAATGTAAAATAATAAATGACATTTATGTCCTCAGCCGCTATAGATTAGAACTAACCAAGGTTAATATGAAATGCAGTTACGTTAGTACGTACTGTATACACTATTATGAATATTGATAATGCCTGACGGTAAAAATATGAAATAAGGAAGTGGTATTTGACAATCGTTTTTTGTAATATTCGTTGTCGCATTAATCTTGTGTACGTGTGTAGTTTCTAATCTCAAAAATGCCGAAATTTTTGAAATCAAAAAGGAAATCGATATTCCATTATTATAAATTTGTATGGCTAATGTTTTATATCATAAATTTATAAATATATCATAAATTACTTCAATGGATAAATGACAAAAAAACCTCTTTTGTTGCATTTGTAATCTAGTTGGTTAATAAGAAAATGTTTTTTTAATTCTTTTCTAGATTTTAATTAATTTAGCAAAACCGACAAAAGATGCAAAAATTAGATGATAATGTACTAAAAAAATCCTTTTATTCTCTTTGATTTTGTTTTAGATTCTGAATAGAGCGAAGAAGCATATGATTTTAATAAGATGTTTATTTTTATTTTTGTTTGTAGACAACTTTTTCACCAGATCCGCTTCGATTTTTGCGTATAGCAACTTTTCTGAAAAGAAAACGGTGTTTGGAGGTACCTTAAACAGGTAATGTCTCGATTTTCTCAAGAGTTTTCTCATCAAATGTGAAAAACTGGGAAAACCGAGAAATTCGGTACAACATTAAACAAATATTATTTAAGAAAATATATAGAACCTATTTAATTATTTTACTATAAAATGACATATTATATATTGTAGATAAAGCATAACTATAATCTAAATTCAGCTCAGAATTGTTTTTACGTAAGCAATGGTTCATATCGTGGATTACAGATAAACAGTAAATTCCTATTACAGTTGCTGTAGAGGACGGCCGACAACGAGTATATCCGAGCCGGTCACACGGTGCGAGCGAGGGTGCGGTCGCCATGGAGACAGCTTGTTCATATCTATTGANTATTGATAAATGTATTATTCACATTCAATAGTGGAAATATGTGCATTTCTCCCAATGTCACATGAAGTAGTTGACGCATATTTAAATAAAGTAATTTGTCCTGGGATTAAAGATATTTGAAATTGTCTTCGTCCGATTAGACATTAAATTCATCGATTTGCGTATTGTGTTAACTTGTAATTTTTTTTGGATATAAAATTATGTACGTTTCACTTAATTAAATTTAATTGTCATTAACACAATATTTACATATTTGTTTACTGTTTCATTTTGAGTATCCCTACTGTATATTTGTTTTTAAAAGATAATAATATTGTGTTTCACTACATTAAATTTATTTTAAATTGTGATAATTATGGAGAACATATTTTATATCAAAACATTACCTACAATACATTAAAATGCCACATTTTTAATCCGTTAAAATATTTGTATGATTTATAACATTCTAATTAAAATAAGCCCATTTAAATTTTAGATATTTTTACATATTTTGTGAATATTTTAGTCATTTTTGATTTTGTCATTGATTTTCGACAACGACAAACATTATCTGCTTTGAATAAAACGACAAGATTAGTATATAATGACAGAGACCAAATTATTCTGCGTTATCTAAATGCCATTTACGTCCTCAGTCGTTATAGATTAGAACTAACTAAAGTTAATATGAAACGCGGTTACGTTAGTAAATACTGTATACACTATTGTGGAAATTGATAATGCCTGATGGTAAAAATATGATATAAGGAAGTGTCATTTGACAATCGTTTTTTGTAATATTCGTGTCGCATTAATCTCGTGTACATGTATAGTTTCCAATCTCAAAATTGCCGAAAGTTGTGAAATCGAAAACGAATTATTATTTATAAGAATTTCTTATTGAGACACATAGGCGCAACTAAGGGGGTGCTAAAGGGACTTTAGCATCACAAAAAAAACCCAATCAACTTTTTCCTAATAATGAATAAATATGTTATCCCTGTATTTCAAAAATAATTAGCAGAACAAAATACAGTTATCATATATAAACAATGCATATGTGTGTGAAAAATAATAAGAGAATAGTTTTAATAAATTTGTATGTACAAAACTATAAATGAAATGTGTAATTGAATATTGTAAGAGCCGTGCAAAGGGGAATGTGTGGGGGACATATCCCCCACGAGTCTTTGATGTGTTGCTCCCAAAGTTGGTGATCTAGTTGAGCCTATGACGAGACATTAGAAAGTGATAGAACAATTATATTCTGTTCATATTGTGAAAAAGCAGTATCAATAAATCAGTGTTTATCAGTTACTCAACTTAAGGTACCTACATCTAAGCACTTACAACTAATTAACCTTGTATAATATGTTGTTTCTCATTGTATTGTTCCAGAAGAATAATCCAAGTTTTATATACCTACATAGGTGTGTGCACGGGTGGGACAGGGTGGGCAGATGGCTCTCTTGCGGGGTAAATTTTTTTACCAAAAACTTAAATTTCAATTATTATATTGAATTTGTAATTAAATGAATGGTGTATAAAATAAAATACTTCCATTACTTATATTAACTACGGTTTTATATGTAGTTAAATAAAAAGCCAATTTTTTAATAATAATAATAGAAAAATAATTATTATATGAAAATATGTTTCATTTAATATTGAAAATGATAGATGTATTGGATTCGGAGCGTATCGAGGGATCTTTTGGTTTTACAGTTATATGTGATTTTATTATTTTGTTTTTCTGTCTGTGAACTTCTTTTCTACTAGAAAACTAAATCCGAAGAATAGATTGTAGCATCGTTTTTGAAAGGTAATTTTCTCTCATTGATGCATTGAGAAGGTCATTTTTCAAATTTCTAAAGAGTTTATAAAAAGATTAAGAAAAACCAGTAGAAAATTATAGGTAAAACGGCAAATATTTTCGGGGTGCCACGAAGTTAAGGTTTTCATTGTTTTTATTATGTTAATACGGTTTTTTCTACCAGAAATATTTCTCCAATCAATAAACGACACGATGTAGATTTTTTTCCCTATAATATATTACCACTAACAGTGTAAACTTTATTGATATCAAAAGTATTTTTTAAAATAAATGGCAAAAACCAAAATAGACGATATATAAGATTTTTTTACAATATACGGCACAACTCTTTTATTTTTTTATATCATAAATATTGCTCCAATAGATAAACGAAAAAAAACATGATTATTGAATTTGTAATCTAGTTGGTTAAAAAGAAAATGTTTTTTTAATAAATTGAGCAAAACCGATAAAAGATGTAAAAAGTAGAGGAAAACGTACGAAAATAATTTTTTTATTTTCTTCGATTTTGTTTTAGATTCTGAATACAGCAAAGAAGCTTATGATTTTACAAAGATGTTTAATTTTATTTTCTTATTGTGGACAAATATTCCACCAGAGACTTGATCCGATTTTTAAGTGTAGCAACTTTTCTGTAAAGAAATTGTTATAGGAAGGTACTTTAAAAAGGTCATTTTTCAATTTCTTCAAGAGATTACTCATCAAATGTGAATAACTGGGAAAACCGAGAAAATCGGTACATTAAACAAATATTATTAAAGAAAATATATAGAACCTATTTAATTATTTTATTATGAATTGACATATTTTATATTGTTGAAAAAGAATCACTGAACTCCGCTCAGAATATTTTTTTCGTAAGCAATGGTTATATTATATCTTGCCTTACAAATAAACATTAAATTACTTATAACAGTTGCTGTAGGGGACGACCAACAACGAGTACATCCGAGCCGGTCTCACAATGCGTGAGGGTGCGGTCGCCATGGAGACAGCTGGTTCATACTTATTGATTTTCTTCTCCCCTCGCGTATAGCGTACGTCTAAAACCGAAATCCTACACGAGTTTTGTACACAATATTTATTCGGTAGGTACTCAGTGGATAAAATTATTAGACTAAACAAAAATGCTTGAAAATATAACAGGATGTTCCATAAATGTCATAATTTGTGTTAAAAAAATAAAAATTAGGCAATTGTAAAAATGTAGCATTNATACCTATTGATTTACTTCTCCCCTCGCGTATAGCGTACGTCTAAAACCGAAATCCCACACGAGTTTTGTACATAATATTTATTCGGTAGGTACTCAGTGGATAAAATTATTAGACTAAACAAAAATGATTGAAAATTTATCAGAATGTTCTATAAATATTTTTTTTACAAATTTTAATGAGGAAAATATATAGACTTTTTAATTATTTTACTATAAAATGACATAAATATCGTTGAAAAAGCATCATTATCAAATGAATTCCGCTCAGAATCGTGTTTTCGTAATCAATGGTTTATTGTACTTATAGATATACATTAAATTTCCGTCTATATCCTACCTTCCTACTTACACCAGTGACTGCACCTGTCCCCATTATTTTACTTTTCGTTTTTACCATTTAATTAAACCAAAGAATAAACACTTTTTCAAAATTAAAATTCATTATGAACGCATTATGCCATTATTTATCTAAGATCCCAAAAAATAAAATAAATATAAATCAAATTTGTCTTACAATAATATTAATATTATATGGTTTATTATTACGCCAACTGGCAATTTGTAATTTGTACAATTTCAACGCAGTTCTAATAGTTAAAAATAATATGTGATTACAATATAGAGTAAGATCATAATTAAAATACATTAAATATATATCAACTATTAACTAATGCATAAACTAAATTTATATAATTAAAGATATAAAATACTAAAAAAAAAAAAATACAAAAAGAAAAATTTTATTTAAAAATTAAGAAATACTTTATTTAAAAATTAAGAAAAACTTTATTTAAAAATTAAGAAAAACTTTATTTAAAAATTAAGAAAACTTTATTTAAAAATTAAGAAAAATTATGAAAATTTTTAATTTAATTTAAATTTATATATTATGAACAGACATTATGCCTTTTAGATACGAAAAATAAGTAATAATAATTAATAAATAAGTATATTTATTAATAAATCGAATATAATCGACCATACAATTATAAAAAAAAAAGAGAATATATAATAAGAAATTATGAATTAGAATGTAAAATTGAAAAAACACCATACTTAAATCAAACACAAAATATATCAAAAAAATTAATAAACATACACACAAAGTTTGCTAAAATAAAGCTCTAGAGAAAAAATCACCAGCAGCTAAGTTAGTTATACAATCAGGTACAAAAAACAATGCTAATGATCATGTTTTATGCACTGGAATATGCAATTGTAACTTGAAATAATAAATCAGGAGTTTTATTTAAAAAACCAAACATTTTGAAGGCTTTATTAATAATTATATTAAAATTAAATGTAAAATTAGAATTTTAAAAAATACACAAATCTCTAATAGTATTGAATACTAGAAATATAATAAAACTATTATTATGAACAAATGACATTGTAATACATTTAATTAAATTCAAAGGGAGACAATTTAATGTGCTCCAATCAACAAAATAATTTAATTTTTTTTGTAAATTAGAACAATTGGAAGGATGAGTATAAGAATTGGAGGATTGATGACATACTAAAAAAAAATATAGGACAATGACTTCTTACAAAAATCATTGACCTGCATTTATTAATTATTAATATTAAGTGCCCAGACAACAAAACTATCAGTCTTTCTGGAATAATTTCATGTCATCCGTAAAACAAATAAGCTGACTAAACCTAAGAAAATAGCGGGCACTGTTCAGAGAGAGAACAGTAGAGAGGACAAATGTCCTTCTTGGAAAACTCCTGGTGGTACCGAGTAAACATAAAATTTATAATTGAATAGATTGACCAATTGCCATTTATTCTGAAAAAATTAAACGAGGCCTTCAATACAGAATTTAAAATATTGTGATTCAAAAAATATATTTAAAACATAAATTATATAATTTAAACAATATAGATGTTTATTATAAGACATAATTAGTTGTATAGAAAATCAAGAAATAAATGATAAAGTCTATACCATTTTCAAAATAAGAAGACAGCATGCATCCAGACAGCGCCAGATTCTGTGATTGGTTACTAATAATTAGTTAGAAGACATGTGCACATATGGACAGAGTCCGCCACCCAGTGCATTCTTATTCTAAAAATGGTAGATGTCAAAATATAAAAAAAATTATACATTTATTCTATTTTATAGCTTTTGTTTCAAATGTATAAATAGCTAGTTTTTTTTAAGGTGTGAACTCCTAAAAAAAATTGTTACTATCAGAAAAGTCAACTGTTAAATCTGATAATCTTAATAATTAGTTTGCATTTAATATATCCGATTCAATAGAAAAATCAGTGCCCATAGATATAGTGAAAACTTTATATCTTTTAATTGCTTCACTTTTAACTGTTTTATTTGACTAAATTGTTTTCCTGAAAATATATTACAAGTGTTTTCATAATTAATTCTAGGATTTTAGGCCAACAAGAATATTTGAATAATAACAACTCATAAATTCTCCATTTTAATGTTAGGGATTGTGAATGGCCTAAATTTTTTACAGTAAATAAAAAACATTGTGAAACCAATAAATTTTTCCCTTGCTTAGAATCTAAAATTCCATAAAAAGCTAGAATATTAAGTTAAAAAAAATTTGTTATAAAAATTGTTGATCAATCCAATGATAAGATATTCTACTTTTAATACTGGGTAAATTAATAGTAGTGGTGCATTATTAAAATATCATGTACAAACTTAAAAATGCAACTACTCCTTCCATTTATGGAATTTTGTAAATAGATTGTCATTTTAAAATCAAAAATAATTAGTAGTTTTACCACCAAAAATAAGAGCGATGAAAAATAAAATAAATGTAGAATTATGGAGCTGCTTGTTTCTCAAGTATTCTATAAAACAAATTACAAAAAAAGTTAATTCTTTCCAAGATAATAATTGTTTATGATAGATTGATCGCCTTGTATAGTTTTTAGTTATAATATCCAAGTTCAGCTCCCTACAACATAAAGAATAAAAATTAAATATACATATATATACAAGATAGTGCTAAACCTGTATATGATTTTATAGAAAATATTATAATTACATAATATCTATAAAGAATAAACTTATTAATCATGTTTATCTGGGGTCTCATCTTTCAAATCTTCATCACCCTCCTTAATTTCAGTAATTTCTGTTGTTATTTCATCATTGGTATTTTGCTCAGGTTTGGGGATATGAATGTCCATGCTAGAACTACTTGAAGGCCCATCATTCAATGATAATGATCCAACATTTTGTAAATGGTCAGTAGTAGGATTAACCTGTAAATAATAATATAAGCTAAAATTAATTATATCTTATAACTAGACTTAGGGACTTCTAGCATTTACATATTTTTTTCTCAATTATGTAAAAAGTAGCAGTCAAATAGAAATTCTGCTTGTGTTATATAGAATCTTAATCCAAAATTTGATTATGTATATTTAGTACTAATTAGTAAGAGATAAAAAGATTTAATTATATTAGTTACAATCTCATTTGTTTTGAAACAGAAAATTATATTTTATGGGCATTTATGGAACCAATTTTCTATAACAATGCTGACTAATAGAACTACAGTTTTGTTTATGATTCATAATTTTCATAAAATACAGTACTATTTAATTACAAATAAATGCCACTGTATAATAGATATTTTTTTTTCTCTGTAGGAATAGTAATGACGTCAAAACCTATATATCGAATATTAACTATTTAATATAGTATAATATGTATGTTTATGTTGTAATATATATTTATGTTAATAAAGCAAAATTTAACATACTTCACTTACATTATGTATAATAATAATACAAATAAGTTTCTTTAAATATAGTATGTTTAACTAAAAACTATAATTATTATATTGTAACTTTTTTTGTTGTATACAGAAAATAGAAATTTACCAGTGCTTTGTACATTGTTGAAGCAGCTCCATTAGAAATTCCACATATTTTATTTCTTGGCACTTGAACCGATGAATGCTTGACCTGTGAGTTATTAGCGGGTTCAGTGGATTCATTTCTTTGTTGTCTAGCTCTGTAATAAATAATACCACATTAGTGAAAATAAATAAATGTTTTATTATTAAGAGGTGTAATAAACATATATATACTTCAGTCATTATAAAAATAATAACACAAAGTAATACAAAAAATTATAAAAGAAAGCTTTCAGAGGAAAATAAATAAATTATTGAATAGATAAGGGGAACATTGGAAAATATGATGGAGCGAAAAAAGAATATTATCAGAGGAACATAAAGAAGAGAGAAAATGATGCTAATTGGAAAGAGCAGATAATTTAAGAAGAGATGAGAAGCATTGCAAATAGTAGAGCAGTCAAGGCGAGGACAAAAAGAGGAATCAAATAAATATGTTATGGCCAAAGATGTTACTCTAATGGCATTTTTTTATCTAAAAATTTTCAAAAGTTTATAGATCATGAATATTTGACATTTTTATTTTTACATATCATAATAAGCATAGTGGCTACCAGGAATTTTATGGGTATTCTTCTGGCCTGGTCTGCTACTTGTTTTATAAATAATAATGGACTTATAATTTAATCATTAAAATATTTGTTAAATTAGACTTGATTAGTATACTATATTAAACCATATACTATCCAATTTAATTCTTTGAATTTTATTATACATTAATTTATAACTAAATAATTGTCGTTCTACATACAAATTCTCGTAAGTCAGGTAAATTATAAAATATTACTTACAAAAAATAAAAATAATAACTTACATGTTGGCACGTAATACTGTATGAAATTGTTTCAAATCTTTAAAATGCTGTTTCATTCCATCTTGATTCTTCATGTCCGTTTCAGGCGTATATATAACATTACATGCTGGACAACGGGATTTCCCTCTCATAGAAGGATCATTAGCAGTTTGTATAAGTGCGTTTACTTTGTTAATGCACACTTTACAGATTATGTGACGACATTTAAAAAGCACAACCCAATCTTTAGAAGTCCTTTTACTATAATCCAAAAAATAGGATTAGTAACACATTTTTGAATATTATATCCCATAATATAGAATATAGATAGATATAAATATTCTTAACTTATTTTATATTATCTAAACAATACAGATATAACATTTGTATCATATTATTATTAATAGAACATTTTAATTTCATTCACAGTATTAATTCATATGTAATAAATATTGGTACTTATTTGTATCATCCCGCTAAACATACAAATAAATAATGTATACATATTCTAATAGTAAAAATGTAAAAATGATTAAAATTATATCATATTAACATAAATTTGCCTGATTAATCAATAGCAACCAATATACTATTATTATTTTAATTTACAACCAATAGCAACCATACAATAAACAAAAATATATTATTATTTAGCACCATTGTCAATTCATCATCACCACACATTCCTCTCAGAACCCCAACTTTATAAGATTTAATTTATGTCTAAAAACATGCTCCGTGAGGTCCTTTTTAATTTAAAAATAAGATGAACAGGATCGGTAAATGTGTTCCCTAGTGATGATGTGACCAATGTAAATTGGGGTCCATTTTTATAAATAAAGATATATTAACACCACAGAAAATTGTAAAATTTTAATTTGATAAATTTTTAGATATGACAATACAAGTTTTATGCTAATTAATATATTATATAAACCTCATTTATAACATGAAACTTCGATATTTGTTTAATTTTAATTAACATTAGTACCTATTTCTATAACATTGTACATAGGTGTTTATAAACATTTTAGATTCAAAATTTAATATAATTACTAAAATACTATAGGATACTTACCAATTTATACATAATAGGGCACTATTTATGGTCTTTTTCAAATTGACTTGGTTAGACATCATAAATTCGGCCGCTTCATTTATTCCCATATTATGAGTACGCCGACTTGATCCCATTTTATTAATGTTTACGAAAATTGACTTAGACTGTAAAGAGTTATATATTAAAATCGACAGAGAAATGTATCTACGTACTATAATTTGTCGCCTCCAAAATATGAATAATCGGTATTCAAAATACTAGGCAAGCAACAATTATTTGGAGAGACCAGTTGACTGCGGCGAAACAAACAAATACCTACACAACGAACGAAAGCAACGAACGAATATCAAATTTTAAAAGAAAAGAAATTTGTTTAAAGAATAGTAGTAAAGTAGGCACGGTAAGTATCGATCTCGTAATAATGTTAAACAGTAATATCTATGACGAATTGTTCAGGACTCACTAACGCAGATGAACCGACGCTGGACAAAGCTGGGAACAAAGAGACTAACAAATACAACGATCAATACATCGTATGCTTCACTATCGAAAACAAAACTGTTTAACTATCGAAATAAAATGACTGCCGAAAGGTAGAACCAATCAAAATGGTTTGTTTTATCACAAGTCAGATGTTGTTATCAAATGTTTAAATTTCTAAATCTATGACCACAGCTGGTATCCGCATCCATATCATATTTTTCACCGTATGGCGTATTCCAATTTTCAAATAATTCATACTTATTCATTATTCAATAACAATTGACAAGCATAATATAAATAATAATCAATGATAATACTTACAATATTATAATGTAAAATATAAAATTTAAAAAAATATACCTAGCTTTTGTTTGATTAACTCTAAATTAATACAAATATATTATAAAACATTTAAAATTTAAATAGACTTTAATTTGTGTTCATATCTGGATCATCCCTTTAATAGAGTTTGAGTAATTGGCTGGTGAAAACAATTTTTGTCCAGCCTTTATTAGGACAATTACTTAGGACAAACATTATTTTTGCAAATAACATAGAATACAAAACGCTTACTACCATTCGCTAACTTACCATTCCTTGGGTACTTATTAGCGTGAACTGATTAACTGTACATTTTAATAGATATACTTAAAATATATAATTTACTACACAAAAATTGATTTTAATAACTCATGTAACTTATGAATATTTATACTATCAAAGTTATAAAATCCAGATATAAGCAATAATCATGATTTTATATTTTTTACTTGCCAGTTTTCTGAATTTTTCAATGGTAAAAACATTGTTGGTGAGGCATTTTGAATTACCTAATCATGAACATTTTTTTAGAAGTGTTGTATTATGAACAAAACGTGTTTACTAGAAATTTAACCAGAATCTACAGAATAATATAATTGTGTTGGTGAATAACTATAAATCATGTTTAAGATACAAAAATTAGTATTTATACCTACCCATCCAAGAATCATTTTAATAGTATAGACAGTATATATAATAATAAATTTATATACATAATATATATTTAAACATTTGAAAACCATTTTTATTTGTTCACAAGTATCTAGGTACCTATTAATTTTAAAATATTATTCATAAGTTATATTTATCAACTAACTTTTTTTGGTTACAGTTAGTGACATCTATTTAATTTTAATTAAAAAATGTGTAGACAATTTTAAAAATCTAAAATCTAGAGTGTATAGATCATTACTAATTAACACTAAATACATAAATACTAATTAGAGTCAAATTTGATTTTCTTATTATCTTTGCAATAAAAAAAAATAGTACCTACTACTTACTGAACAAGACTTCTTGCAATCATTTTTACTCATTTTAAAATATTATGAAACAAGATAAAACTGTAATAGGGAAAGTGTATAGAATACAATTTATATTTGTATGGATGGATGAATAGGATATGTCCAAATTTAAACATAGATTTTAAATTTATTAATTATTTACAATAATTATATTTATTTTACACCCATATAGGAAGACAAGTTTATGAAGCCGAGGAATCTGACAATGATATTGATCTAGTACCTGATAATGAAAAAATCCTACCTACTATAAAAAAGGTGCATTTAAATAATTCTTTGATTGGAATAAATATAAAGATAGTATATTCTGTTATTTCTTTTATATTAAGTTTAATAAATTACAAATTGTGTTGTTTTTTTATTTTGACTAATGATTGAAGTTTGATGAAAACGCTCTACAAAAAATTGAAAGGCATAATGTTGACCTTAGCAACCAACTTGCACAACTCAATTTATGTTTTAATAGAGTACTGCAAAATTCGGAACTTATGTTAATGATAGATCTGGGTCTATGCTTAAACATGTATCAGCTTTATGCATCGCTTTTATTGCTGAACATCAAAGTCACATTAAGTCAGGCAATGCATTCATTAATAAGTTTATTTTTTATTTATATATATATAACCATTTTAATAATTTTGTGTTTTCTTTATTATTTTATGAATTCATTAGCTATAGTTTATTTTTCTTAGAAAATAATTTAAATAATTCAAAATTGTATTTGTAGCGCCTAAAACATGATTAAAATTGTTTATATGATTTCTATAAATTCAGTTTTTTATTAATATAATTGCTTTCCAATAAAATGATGTCTGTCAGACAAAATTCTATCTAATCAGTTGATATTTTTCTATGAAGTGGACATTTCATGTGTGTATATAAATATACTCAACTAACATGTATGAAGTCACATATTTTGTATCCATTTATGATAGGTAGAGTGACTGCCCCAAAAAAGAAATTTTACCGCACTACCACATTAAACTACCACGAGCCACCACTGAGGATGACAATAAGTAGGTATCATCACTAGACTACGATAGATATAATACATAATTAACAATATAGAATTATTTAACATAACATATAATATCCACACATAATATCAGAACTTCAAAAAATTATAATTTCGAAATTAAGTCAGTCCGCTTAATTCTGACTTCACCATCATTCTTAAATTGGAAATATATATTTAAATAAATAATAATAAATATATACTATAAAATGTATTTATATATGTTCGTAAAATAAATTGAAAAATTAGATTTGTTCAGTGGCGTAGAGACTAGGAAGACTCGGTAAACCTCGGCGCCTCTGGTAAACTTAGAAAAAGCGCCTTTTCACCAATTAAAAATTTGATGTAAATTATGAAATTTTTTTTTTTAAGAATTCAATTTATAACTACTAGTTATTACTACAGTGTAAATTTTAAACCCTAAAAATTTGCTTCTCTTGCTTTAAGACTGGCAAATTCATTGATGTCCATGTCTTCATAAAAAAATTGATCTTGCAAATTCGTGTTCTATATGATTAAAATTGTTACACTTGTTAATCTATCCTGTCCAATTGTTGATTTTAGGTAATTTTTTATTAGTTAAAGTTTACTAAAATTTCTTTCACAGCTAGCAGTTGTTACTGAAATGGTAAGAAATATTCTTAACGTTATATCCATATTACGATAAATATCTTGTAAATTTTATTTACGAATTAGTTTTAATAAATCAACCAGTGTAGTAGTTTTGAAATTGATCATAAAATCGTTGGTCTGGTGATTAAAACATTCCATTTCAGAGCATAACTCGAATTCATTGAGATCCTTGGCGTATTCTCCAGGTGTTTGTTTTATTTTATGTCTTCGTTTTTATTAGAAATTCGGTTGAGATTTCTATTTCAATAGTAGTTTTCTTAGCATTTTCTAATAAATGCTCGAAATTATTATTATGAATTTCTTGAATAGAATTATACAAACCGTTTTAACATTTTACTCCGTTAATTGTAATATCATTTGTTTCTAAACACTTAGGTATGTATTAATATTTTACCCCATATATTTAGTAAACAACGTAATTTTAGATCAATTATCAATCAATAATTAAATCTAGAGATGTAAAATTTGTTTGCCACTATTGAGTGGCATAGTTCATATTAGCAGAGTCCCTCATTTATTTTAATATAAAAACAATATGGGTGATATTTGAATATAAAGCTAAAATGGCTTGTTTTCTTAAGACCAACAAGTATCACTATGTTTATTGGAATGCCCTTTTGTTATTTTCATAATTTAATCGTTAAATTCACACGTAGTGTGTACAATTAGAAAAATCTACACATTTCAAAAAGTACGCATAATGGACAAATTTCGTTTTGAAGGTAGAATAAAAATAAGACTCGCACAATTATACGCCCCTTTGCATTTCGCGCCCCTGGCGTATAGACGATTCGCCATACCCTTGCTACGCCACTGGATTTGTTCCATATAATTTTTTACTTAGAAAATGGAAGCCGTAAAAATTTAAAATAATGAAATCTTTGTACTGTAATTTGGAAAAAAAAATCGTATATTTCGCCTTTTTGGGTTTTTTCCCGTCTATATTTGTCTACTATTAGTACTTTTATGTATTTAATAGTTTTAATTAAAAAATTAACAAATGTTTAATATAATTTATACAATATAAAATAGAGCAATAGCGGTCGGTAGTATAGTGTGTAGGTACATAATATTATCATTGGCGGTATTACCCCTTTTTTATAAGTTAACAAAAATAACTATAACATTAATATTATGATATGTATTACTATATAGCTTGTGTATATTTGTGGATAAATGCAAAAATTGAGCTTTATGTTGTAAATTTAAATATAAAATTTCTTTTTCTTACTTGTTTTCCCTTATCATCGGTAAAAGATAAAATGTTTGTTGTTAATTCATTTGTTTTTTTTTTTTTTAAAAATTCACAATTTTCCAACTACCTATATTTTAACGGATAATTATATCGACTAAGTATTGATTAAATATATATTGTTGACAAAGCAACGCTATTAACCGAACTCCGCTCAAAATCGTTTTTCGTGTGCAATGGTTAATCGTTGGATACACATTATATATTATAAAACAGATATACATTAAATTTTCTTTCTACTTTCCCAACTTCTCATTTACAACAGTGGCCAACCCATGTGCTGAAGTATGCCCGTCTTTTTAATCTTATTGGTGAATGTCTAATGAAGTTGTTTTTTTTTAAAATTTTTTTTGTAGTTTTTTCTTTAATAATTGAGCAAATTCGAAAAAAAAACGTGGAAATTATGGGAAAATTTAAAGAACTCAAGAAAAAAAAATAAAATTTAAAATAATTCTAAAGTTATTTTAAATTTTGTTTTGCTATCATAATTTATTTTAAAATATTCATAAAAACTTGAAATGTGATAGTTTTATTATAAGTCGTACTTAGTGGTCACAAAATAAAAATGTAGTTTTTAGTAGGTATTCTTTTTTGTGTGAATTAAAATCAAATTTTGACGAAAATCTTAAATTTTGTCTGCTTTTTAAAATATAACCGAATTTCATTCCGAATCGTTTTTCGTTATCAGTAGTTTATCGTTAGCTACAGGTATAAATTAAATAACTTTATGTATCCCACGACTCTTCCCCACTGGCCACTAATTACCTACAACAGTAAGTATTGTATTTGTATGATCTTAAATATATTTTATTAAATATTTAAATTGAAATATATTAAGTATAACATCAAAAATTATGTTTTTATTGATAAAGATAAGATACCTAGAAAATGTAAACTACTGCTGTTTAAGATATTATTTCAAAATCGTAGGTACTCAATACTTATGTACTCGATCACCGGATCACATCGATTTAAAAAATAAAATATTGGATTACAAAATACGAATACCAAGATACCAATAACCGATTAGTGGTAATCACATTGCTTCGCCTGGTATAGAAGTATATTAGTGTAATAATAATATAGGTTGAATGTAATCTCATTTGAGTAAGTACCTATTTGAAAAGATCAATTTTCATTTTTGGGCAAAATTACCTTTAGTAATCCCTAAAAAATTGCGTGTAGCGTCCTACACGCACGTAAATAGATCCGTGTCACTGTGTCAGCGTATTGCTATTAATTATTTAGGCACCTACTATGAACTATTTTAACGGATTGCATTTTGAGTATATAATTTTTTTGAGAATGTATTTTCTCCAACAACAATCAACAAATTCATCAGCAGAATCGCCGGTGATTAAAGGATCATAAAACTCACAAAATCAATAATTATTGTATCATAATAATAAATAGAATACATTCTAATTAGCATAATGGTACAATTAAAATTAATTTGTAACTACCCGTTCACTATTTACGATGATTTTTAACATTGTGCGTGATGTCATGGATTCGCTCGCCGTGGCGGTAACCACATAATATAATACACGGCAATATTAACTATCCGTTTTTCGTTCAACGTAAAATAACTGTTAATGAACTTATTTTTTCCGGATGATCTAATGAAATGTAGGTATTTAAGAGTACCTCGTAATCTTTCTATTCGTATAAGTATATCACATTTTGGTTTAATATTGTAGAAAAAAAACTGTCCTAGGATAATGTGAATAGGTGCAGCTACTGTTGTAGGTGGGAAATTGGAAAGGTAAGATATAAAAGAGAATTCAATGTATATCTGTAATCAACGATAGACCAGTGCTAACGAGAAAACGATTTTAAGTGGAGTTATATCCTTTTAGAAAAAGTACTATCATTGTAAATCGGAGCAAAATTGCACTATCACTCAGAAAGGAACAATATTCACATTTCAGTATTTTACACTGTTATTACTTACAAGTTACAACTAATTTGAAATAAAGGATATTATTGTTATTATTATTAAATCATAATGATATGTATAATTTTAATACGATGATAAAACTATAATCTATATTATTATAAAAAATAAACATCGATTATTATTTTAAAATTATATAAATAAATAAAAATAAATTCATAGCAGTCTCATAACAGTGGTGTACCTTATGGTGTATTTTAATATAATTGTTATGTTTGTATTAATACTCAACCAAAATGTGATATAATTATACGAATAGAAAGTTTATTAGGCGATTAGGTCATTTGAAAAAAATAAGTTCATTAGCAGTTACATTACGTTAAATAAACCTTAAACGAATTAATATTGCCGTGTTATATATATTCGCTGCGGCAAACGAATCCGTGACGTCACGTGCAATTTTAAAAATCGCCGTAACTAGTGAACGGATAGTCACACACGAATTTCAGTCGTATCTGTCATTTTTTTTTTGCCATTATATGTTCTATAATATTTAAGCCAGATAAAATGTGTTGAGTTGGATAGTCCCTTTTAAGAGTTTTGTAGTTACCTACCGAGTGAGTCACTAACCATTTTAAACATTCCCCTTCACGAGAGAAAATCAATACCCATTGCCATGACAACGGCACCCTCGTATTTCATTGTTAGTTACGCGCATACGGTTTACAGACCCTTCTGTCTGCGATATAGGGTGTTTTGTGGAGGGCGACTCGGGCTTTGAAGGGTGAATTTGTCCGTTGGCGTTACTCTTGCTGGCCGTCCCCTCGTTTCGTCAATGCGCACACTCGGAAACCAATGGCAACGCAGCTGCAATAGGGAAGGCAAATGTTTTCTTCGAGGGACGTCAGACAATTTCATTTAGTATTGAAGTTTGTTCCATTACTTTCGGTTGTCTGTTTTGCTGTTCTGCTACAGCAGTCTTCTGCGTTAATCATGTAATCTTAACGAGATAGTTACAAATGCAATACCTATCACTTGCTTTGTAACTATCTCGTTAGTTCTCGCAATGATTTTTATGTAAGTATATTATAGGTATTTAACAATAAAATAAACGTACCTTTGGAATACAATCAAAATAAAAAAAATAAGAAAACATTTTCTTTCATATATTTTTTATTTCATGTGGGTATATATTATATACTAAGTAAATATCAAATTTATACAAATTTGTATTGATTGTATTTGTTGTCTTTAAAATTATTTTATCTTTAATAAAATACATTGGGGATGAGCTGATACACTTGATATTAGTGGTTTAAAAAAAATATATTTATTTTCGAAAACAAATATTTCTGTAATGTCTAGAATATCAAAAAAATATTTCTATTAATTTAATTTAACCCAACTCATGGTTTTTGATTTCAACTTTTGGTTTTATATTGGTACCTAGCATATATATTAGATTTCAGTAAAACATGGTATCAAATATTATAAATGATTTATTATATTTGGTGGTATTGGCCCATTCTTATACAATATATACCTACTTATATATGTGTACCTGGTTAAATATATTATGTATGTTTTGTTTTTGTTTTTATTATAGTGCTCAACTACAACGCTGGCATCCATAACACTCAAAACACCTTCCAACTATTAAGAGGATTGTAGTTAACAAATCAAATCAATACCTATCTAGATACTAATGGCTTTATCGAGTGAAATCAATTTTTTATTAAATTTAGTGTTTTAAACTTATAATTTATTTATAATGCATTTCATTTTTTAAACATAAATATTATGGTAATCATGCAGTGGCGTACCCAGAGAGAAACAATGGGACTTCAGCTCCTATTGGGTGTATTATAATACAATAAATAATAAAAAATATTCAGCATTAAAAAATCCTGGGTACATCCGCCACTTCAACCATGAGTTTAAGGTCAAAAATTCTTATGTGCGTATATCAACAATAAATAGAATATTTAATTGCATTCTTGGTACAGTCGTTTTCATCCAGCGGCTGAAAATGTCTGCGCCAAGAACGTAAGCTTTTCATTGTCGATATACGCACATGCGGGTTTTTTGACCGTGGCCTACATTTATAATATTTATGCAAAAATATATTTTTTTTATCAGTTATTATTGTAATTCAATTTTAAATATCCAATGTTCTTGTTAATTTTAAAATATTACTTACTTTGTAAGTTGTAACATTGTAGATTGACTTTTATGTAGTTTAAAATGTTTAATACCTACCATAACTAAAACATACTGTATTGATAGCAATGATTAATGTTTGAATATAAATCTAGATTTATATTCAAACATTAATTTGTATACTTATTCTTTTGTTCACATTTATATTTAAATCAAATAAACTATAATTATTTTCAAATATATTTATCAATGTGTATAATTTATTTACATTGTTACTTATAAATTATATAATGAACATCTTAGTATATTAGTTTAACTGCAATAAAAATGTTGGTATCGAATGGTGTTATTTGTATAGAGTTGTTCTACTTCATTTGAATAACTCTCCTTACATATAATTGCAAATAAAATTATTTTATTTGTTGTATAAGGATTCAAATTTTTAACTTTATACATTTCTTAATGTGATTATAATTATTGTTTAATTATCTCTAAAATGTCACCTGAAAATTTAGATTTGGAATAATATGGTTAATTTGTGTAGTGTATTAGAATGATACAATTATTTGTCTTTTTATAAATAACAAATTAACCACATAATATAAAAATCATAACTTTTATTTTAAAATTTTTTTCACTTACACATTAAGAATGATTGAGAAATTAATATTTTTGAAGGTTTTAGATCATGACAAAAATAAATCTTTAAAAGGTACTAGTTTGTTATAACCTCACCATTATTATTGAATTACTGTGATAATAATAGTATAAAATTGAATATTAAATAACCTATACATTCATTATTTACTCATAAAGCACAGGAAAAACTTACTAGGTTTAATTTAGTTGTTTTATAAAAAATGTCAAAGACAAAAATGACTGAACTGATAATTTTTTTAAGTGTTGCAGTTTATATTTTAATTTATCAGTGTTTAAAAAATAATTATTAAGATTTATTCACCCAAATACCAGATGGACATACTGGTATTAAATTTTTGCAATACAAAAATATTATTTAAACAACTGGTACTTATGAAAATTTCCATGAAATATTTTCAAAATGGTTGCATTGGTGTTGTCACCATAAATAATAAGTTATTCAAGTTAATAATTAGCAGGGCTAGGATTTATATGCAACAGCGTGTTTTTTTGCGACATCTGATTATTGATTTTGTCAGTAATTTCCACAAATCACCTGATGATTAGATAAGTGGCCGTGTTTTTATTTTGCATGTTTTTGTATATTTTGGATAAAATGCATATCCGAATGCTTATCC